ATATATTAGAGTGTTCTCACATAAGGGTTGTGTTCTTACATGATCCCATTTCTATAATATACTTTTTTTAATAAAAAGGTATTAATTTTGGAATACATGTTAAAACCACATGTCGATCAATGTAATTAATTTTTATTATTTCACGTAACTAAAAAATTAAGCTGATGGTTGAGGCCCAAAAATATGTTCTATACTCTATCACGACCCCTCACACGAGAGTCCGTTGGGCTTGAAGTGTGGATGCACCGTGCATGAGCTCTCCGGATAACCTGCGCGAAATATTCTACATGAAAGTGGGGGTGGGTGAGATTTGAACTTGGCTCCGATACCACGTTAGAAAGCAATTCAACCAAAAAATTAAGATGATAGTTGAGGCCCAGGAATATGTTTTATACTCTATCACTACATTTAGTAATCTTATCATCTAATTAACGAGCTTGGGACATTCATTAGCTTTTGTCTATTATTTTTACATACTATTGCAAATATATGAAATGTCATTTATCAAATGTGTCTTCAGAAACTTATTTTTGTATGCTCTCAAAATGAAACAAAAGTATATTGACCAATGCAAAACTTACCGGAATCTATGTTTGCTAAAATGATATCATCTCCAAAATTTGCCTTATGGTATAATGATATCATCCGCTGATCGAGTCGTTGTCGACTCAAGAATTCGACTTTCAAATATTGATACAACACTTGGATGCTCTACATGAAAGTTAGAGGATTTAATAAAGATTAAACATATATTTATTAGAACGAACAAACTTAAATTAAATTTTTTTCTCCATATTTTTATCTTACTACTGTATTTAATAATTAATATAGCAATAGAAATGAGAGGGTATGGTCTAAGAAATTAAAGAGTAAAAGATCAAAGGTTTAAAGCAATTTGTATTAATCTATGCCTTACTTGCGAGTTCATTGGCCTCTTCCTCGTGCAATGTCGCAGCAAAGCCATTATATATCTTATTATAAGAATATACTAGATGGAAGCCCGTGCGATGCACGATATTTTCATCTAAGTTTTTTAATTATTTGATTTATTGTATTTAATAATTTCAAATAAAATTACAAAATTTTAATATTTTTTTTACTATAATTTATAATGAATTTATTAAATATAAATAAATTGTAAATGTAATATTTTTTCCACTATATAAAATCTTTAATTTGAAATGATAAATTTTTAATAATTTAAATCCTAAATCATTTTTCATTGTTTTACCATATCTTTTATTTCCATAGAATCACCAATCTCGTCCACAACCAACCTACTACATCAATGGATAAATTAAACCGTAAAATGTTAGCCAAACTGAAATTGATATAAATTAAATCTCTACATTTATATAAAATAGATCAATATATTTACCAATAAATGAAAAATTGTTGCGATATATAAAATCAAATCTATGCATTGGAATTTTTTTTATCATCTCCAAAAATAACCAAAGCCATCCATATATTAAGTATACAACATCTAATCGTATTCCATTACATAAACAAATAATCGTTAAGTATCCTAAATAAATACAATGTAACTAATAATTACAAATATAAATTTAAACATAAGATTTTAAAATCACCCGGACATTGATGACCTAAAACTAACACAAAATTTGCTTGATGGAGTTTTGTATTGATAAGAAATTTTATTTGTGTCGTATGATGTGTTAGATTTGCATGTAAAAAAACATTTAGTAAATAAAACAAAAACATATAATCGTTGAGTATCCCAAATTAATACAATGTAAGTAATAATTAGAAATACTAATTTAAACATAGGATTTTAAAAATTAAGCTAAAAATTACCCGTCTATTGATGACCAAAAATTAACACAAAATTCGCGTGATGGGTTTTTTTTTTTATTGTTACGAAATTTTATTTGTGTCGTATGATGTGCCAATTTATATTGGTAGGTATCACAAATTTTACAATTTGTATTTCTTATCATAAATACTATCAAAATTTATCATATAATGATAGGTATCAAACTTTATTATAAGCGTTTATCATTTAAATATTTCTTAGTATATTTTTTTTGGATTTCTTATACTCGTAGTATTGAATTAATAAATTTATCTTTTCTTATATTTTTACTTTATTTCTTTTCATTAAAATAATTTAATTCGTGGATTATAATCTAGGTGACATTAAAATTTTAGATATATCAAATCTAATTCGTTATTACTTTTATCTAGGTAGCGGCATAATTTTTTAATTCAACAATAAAATACAAATCTTTTTTCTTATTGGTCGAAATAAGTATATTTCTTATGTGGCGCTCCGAATGCTCTCCAATAATGCCTACTTTATTTATATATATATTAGATTTGAAAAAAATTAAGTTTAGATCATATCTAGATATAAAAATTAAAAATTAACACAAAATTACTAACACAAATTTCGCTTGATGGGGTTTTTTATTGATACAAAATTTTGTTTGTGTCGTATGATGTGTCAATTTATAATGGTAGGTATCACAAATTTTAATTTAATTATAATTAACGAACGATTTGTATTTCTTATCATAAATAATCTCAAAATTTATCTTATAATGATAGGTATTAAACTTTATTATAAACGTTTATCATTTAAATATTTCTTAGTGTATTTTTTTGGAATTCTTATACTCGTAGTATTGAATTAATAAATTTATCTTTTCTTATATTTTTACTTTATTTTTTTTTTCATTAAAATAATTTAATTCGTGGATTATAATCTACGTGGCATTAAAATTTTGGATATATCAAATCTAATTCGTTACTTTTATCTATGTGGCAACATAATTTTTAAATTCAAAACTAAAATACAAATCTTTCTTCTTATTGGTCGAAATAATTCCTTTTCTTACGTGGCGCTCCGTATGCTCTCCAAAAATGCCTACTTTATTTATATAATATATTAGATTATCCTTTTTGAAGATAATTCGGAAACACTGTGTATGTACACATAATCAAATCAATTAAAGGATAATTGAATTAAGTTCAGCAATAAATTATCTCTTCTAAGTTATTAAAAGATGTAAGGCGAAATGCAATTAATAAATTCTGCACATTTGTATGTATTATACCTTCTTAGTACAGAAGAAATCAAGTCATGATGGGACTTTGTAATAGTCTTGGGACTGGCTGATAAACGAGATTCCGCGTGGTGAGAACCTAAGTAGACTATATAGTGCTGCATGCAAAAAAGATTATAACGATGATCAAAATTAAATTTATACTATTGTCTTCCTAATTTAATCTTCACACTTTTCTTTTGCGCCTATCTCAATTTAATAGACACGCTTATTATATATGAATCAAGCCAAATTGATGACTTATTTACCTTAGGGGTAGCATAGGTAGGTAATTGCTGCAATGACAAAAGCAGAAATGTTAATAAGAGACAATGTTGTAAGAGCATTGGAATTTGCATTGTTGAACAAAATTCTTCTTCCTCTTTTTTCCTTTTTTTTCAATTGATCTTAAGCAAATGAGATGATTAATATACGTATCTCATTAAATTTAATTTTCTCCTTTATGTTTGGTTTAGATAATAAGGACCATGATTAATTTATTGCTAATTAATTTTACCTTACATAGTGCATGCTCTTAAATTAGCAAGGGAGTAATTCTTAGCTATTCCAAATTATTACAAGTGGGTGATTATATTGACAATTTATAAAGAAATTTTCAGCTAAATTTGCATTTTTTATCCACATTTTTCTCCTTAAAATTCTGTATGTGGTTGGTATAATTATATGAATAAACTAGTTTATGATCCTTGATGATCAATTAATTAAAAATACTCTGTATATATAAGGCCAGTGATTTGCATTGGGCGTAATAAAGGAAATAAATTTGACAGGCATGAAATGAGGTATATCTAGCTAGCCATGTTTAAGGAGCTTTTCCACTGTTATTTACATTAATGACGGAAAATATGTAAACAAATATTTTTAGGGGTAAAAATGTCCGTACACTATTCGAAATTGTAAAAAAAAAAGGCAATTAACATTAACCAAGGAAAAAACCAAAAAAGACAACTATCATTAATGAAGCCAAAATAAAAACTAATACATATTACATAGAGTAAACATGTAAATGCGCAGCACACTATTCATAAGAGTAATCTTGTACTTTCTATAAGGTATGGATTAAAAAAAAAAAAAAACAGTTGTTATATTGAATGAAACCGCGAACGAAAATTGAATCAAATATACCTTACCATTCATCTTATATCTTATTAGCAAGTTTGTAAGGTATGGCGAATTTGTTCAGTCTCATAGTATGATATCACTAATCTGAAATTAGCAAACAATGATGGTAAATATTCTTTGTGACGTGATAAACTTGGTCACCTAGTGATGTGTAGGATCATTATTGTTAATTCATACATATGGACATTTGCTAATTTTATTAAGTCCATGACCTTGTTTGTACGACTTGTTAGGTTGGGAACTAATTACTAGACCATTTATAACAAAAGTTAAAGGATCCCGAACACCTTCCGCATTCATGTGAACCATTCAAATTTTTTATGGTGTTGATGATTGACGCATCAACATGTATGTTGGCCTCTTTCAAAAATTAGTCTTTTATTAACGAGCAATGTTTTTTCGACAAGACTATTAGCTCAAAATCTCAAATCATTAAATGAATTCCGAACTCACTGTTCCAAATTCTTGGATACGCCACTGGCTCAAATCATTAAATGAAGGGATCATTTTCCAAATCATTAATAATATGTACTATTTTTCATTAACTACCTTGATATGATGTTACTTCATGCATGAGTCAAAAATATCCTGTTAATATAAGTAAAACTTTGATCTACTCTTTACATGCTATGATATGAATCTTCACACAAGTATAAAAAAGGAGCTTCAAATTTGTTTATGATGGTTAGACAATAGACAACAGACAATACAACATACAAGTGATTTTCTACTATCTCTGTTAATTTTTTGGTTGCAATACAACAAAGAAATTTTTATGTCTCATAAATATATCACCCCTTTATTATAACTAAAAATTAACAGAAGTAATAATTAATACAAGGGCTTGGTCTTTACATAATGCATTCTTTTTATTTTCATGCATTATTCCTTACATCTGAATTGCCACAAATACTACAATATATCTAAAATTAATTTCGTGCGCATAGTTAGTTCTAGTATTTCTTGCGCACTAGCTCGGGTTCTGGTACATTCTAATATATACAAAGTATATAGTAGGATAGAAATTAAAGGAGTGTACTAGTAAACATTGTAAATGAAAAATACTATGGAAAAATTCATGGAAATAATCCCACCTATTGGCCGTTCGTTTTTAATAATCTCACCTTTGAGATATTTTTTAATAATCCGACCTTTTACCCCCCCCCCTTTATTTTAATGGTCTCGGGTGACCAGTAACCAGTAGAAGAGGTAAAAAAAAAATTTGGTTTAAAATACACGTGTCACTATACAATTTGTCTAAAATTTTAAATTAAAAAACAAAATTAAAAAAAAAAAACAAAAAAACCGGCAGTCACCTCCTCCACAAGTCCCAGCCACCGCTGTCGTCGTCCACTGGCCCCAGCCACCTCCTCCACCAGCCCCGACCACCAGATCGAAGCTTACATCGTAGCCACCTTGCCCCTCAACCCCCATCCCCAAAACCCTTGTTCACCTTTGAGGGTAACGGAAATCGAACCCCCTTCCTTCTTTACTTCCAAAACCAAGTTAGGGGCTATCTAGGGTGAGGGTTTAGGGTGGTTTCGGAGTGGGGGGTTCGAGTTAGGGGCGATTTCGAGGGTGGGGCTGGGGAGGGGGTCTGTTCTGGTCAAGTGGTTGTGGAAGGAGGGTGGTTTCGGCGGTAAGGCAGGGGGAGGGGTGGTTGTCGGGGCTTAGGCAAGGTAAGGGAGTGGCTGCCAGGACGAAAATGGACGTGGGTAGTATAGGGAGTTCAGTTCGGCCGTTTCCCAGGTGGTGGTTGTGATGGAGTGATCATGGAGGAAGAGAAAGGAGAGAATGAAGCAGGAGGGGAAGGGGAGGGAGGCCGACGGCCGCTGGCGCCCCTGCCAGAGCAGGTACTGGCGGTAGGGGGCTGGCCTGGGCTGGTGGTTGGGCTAGCTCCCTGGTGGCTGGCTGTTTTTTTTTTTTTTTTTTCTTTTGTTAATTTAATTTTTTCTGCTTTTTTTTTTACCATTCACAGGCTGCCACGTGTCATGTTACCTGCTATAACAGATTACATGACCGGTTGGGACCATTAAAAAAGAATGGGGGATAAAGGTCGGATTATTAAAAAATATCTCAAAGGTGGGATTATTAAAAATGAACAGCCAAAAGGTGGGATTATTCCCATGAATTTTTCCAAATACTACAGACAACTATCTACCTATTTTTAGCCTTGACCGTAATAGGACTTCTAACAACATGTTTAGCATCAGACCACACCAAACTTCCAAAAATGTAGTCAGTGGAGAGATGATTGATATCCGCTGTAAGGATAAGTTTAAACATAATGATTTGGTCTTTTTGAGAGAACACCAAAGTCTTAGGCTCCACCACAATTGAGACACCGGGTGGCGGCTCAATGCGTGGAACATAGGTTCCAGGTTGTCCAACATTCTTCAACTTCCGAGTAACTATCGCATTGCCGGTAAAATTTACGATCGATATGGAAGGATAATTGAAATCCAAGATGTTGAAGGAGCGCGGGCATTTGTAAGAATGTTGTTGGCTAAATTCTTTAAGAGTTGTACTCTCAGGAGGATATGCACATAGGAAGTTTAGGTAATCATATTGGTTCATGTCATAAACCAACCCTGGATCCATTGCCGCATTGGGTTTAACGTGGCCCGACCCGTATGCAAATGGGTTAGCATCACTTATCTTGTCACTGTCACGTATAGGCATCCCTTCATTATCAAGGGGACTTGCTGCATTATTATTACATGGTACACAATCGAAAGTTAGGTTCCTTACACATACAATATATGTAATAAGGTGTTAAAAATTCAACTGACCCGACTTGATCCAATTTAACTTGATCTACTAAAATATTATGGATTCAAAATTTGACTTATATGTGTATAGTGATTTACTTTAAATCGGTTCTACGTTACCGAACCAGATCCATAAACCGTATGTAATTGCTATCTTATATACATATTATATATTTATATCATGTAGTTTGTGTACACAACATACCTGTAGTCATGATTGCTGATTTGATAGCTGCTGTACTCCAATCAGGATGTAGCTTCTTAATAAGAGCCGCAATACCAGTAACATGAGGACTAGCCATTGATGTTCCGGTTAACATGCAATAAGAATTTTGAAAGATTTCTGGAGGGCAAGCAGCGAGAATATCTACCCCAGGAGCTGTAACATCAGGCTGTAGTAGATGAATATGCACAAGGTAAAATTACTTTAAATAACTATATTGTGCATGCTAAGGAATCCATTTTATGAATGAATTTATTATAGAATCCCTCTGTCCCTATTTGTTTGCCCCATATTCCTTTCTAAGATGGCCCTTAAAGATTGCTCTGTTTCCACCGTTAACCCCGCTTGCATACATTAATAAAAGTATAAAAGACGAAGATACTCTTACCTTCTTCCTATATTTTGGTTCAATCCTTAATAAAATACATTTCGACGAGACAAACAAATAGGAATGAAAGAAGTAATAATTAGATCAAAAAAAATAATGAGTACGTATACCTTTAAAATACCAGGGTTATTCTGGTTTGGACCCCTCGAAGAGAAAAAACCCATGATTGGAGATGGCTTTACTCCCAATGTATTTGTTACGCCACTGATTGACGCGGTTGGAGTCCTGTTACAAATTGCAATCTTTATTTCTTTGATATTCATATATTATTTACAAAACTAAATATAATCGTCTCACCTTCTTAATTCTAATTTTTGATTTTTATTTACTTGCAATACAGCCTTGTTGCATGCATTTTGAGGCCAAAATTATACAATGTAAACAAACAAATTAAATCAATATAATTTTTACACATAGTACCTAACCCTTCTCTATTCTCGTTGTTAAAATGATTATTTTGATTAAAATCGTTTGTTTACCTTCATTAGTCACCTCCTAAAAGTGTCAGACTATAAATTTTGTTGCAAGTAAAAGAAATCAGTGGAAGTATATATCATGATCTTCCACCGTACTAGCATCAATTACATACATATCCAAGAGCTAACTTAGTTAAATAAAAAGAAAAAACCTACCTCATGGCTCGGTTTGATCTGTAAATCTGAAGTGAAATAAACATATATAGCTTAAGTTGTAACACCATATCTATGCCCAAAAACAGGAAATGAGGTAGGCGTTATAAATTGATCTTACCTTGTAGAGTTAATATAAGAAAAAAGAGTTTCGCCGTCTTTATAGCTAAGAACTATAGTGTTGACTGCATGAAATTGGTGAAAGACATCTCCATCTCCTATCTTCTCTTCATATACAAAGATCATCCCAACAGCCCCAGCATCTCTAGCTACAACACTAGCCAATGTTTCATCTTTTCCAACAATTCTTCCAGCGTTGCGACATACCAAAATCTTTCCAGTCACCTTCGCAACATCGATACTTCCTTCTTGACATAATGATCTACATCCAACGTCACATGCATATCATATCGATCATAAAAAGAAATAACATATGTTTTGTATTAGCAATTTTAATAAGTTGTAATCTAGCTTAACAATCCAATAATTATACAATGTGATACAATATAAAATCTATTACTAGGCCTCAACCATCGGATTAAGTTTTTGGTTGAGATTATCCTTTAACAAAGTATCAAAGATAATGTAACAAGAAGGTTACGAGCTCGAATCTCATCCACCACCTCCTTTAAAAATGAAATGTTAAGCGATGGGTATGTCAGGGACTCAACCAACAGCTTCAATTTTTTGTTGAGGTGGGTTTTAACATAATTATTCAAAATTATAAAAAAAGAAAAAAAAAGTTAAGAAGAAGAAGATTAATTAAACTTACGCATCGCTAACATTAGCACCAGATATGCGAGCATCTGCACCAGTGATTAGTGGGTACAATTCACTAGGAACGTCAACTTTTGCTACAAAATCATAAAACCGTGTACCCTGCAGTAAATAGTTTAATTTTAATTTATTACTCCATATTAAATTTTGGGAAAAGGAGTTTAGAATAATTATATTACCCACTTGATACTATGATTCTATGATTGTCAAAGCAAGTTAGGTAATAAGAGGCTTAGGATTTCTTTATAAGTACAATTTCTCTGTTTTTTTTTTCAGTTGACACGTTTTTTTTTTATCATGTTTTCTAACGGACAAGTTTAACCATCACATCAATCAATATATAGCATATAAATATATGTGCATATACATACATACCTTGATCTTCTGATTGTTGCTGAGTAGAACGTGAGCAGAAAAAACACGATCAATAGTAGACGCACCAACAGATAGCACCCATGGATGATTATTTGCAGCAGTCCCGGCATTCGGCCCACTATTTCCTGCAGCAACAATAGTGAGGATGCCATTCTTCATGGCATGGAAGGTAGCTATTCCTGCAGCATCATCAAGATAAGCACTATTAATTGATCCTTGAGAAAAATTTATAACGTCAACGCCATCATCAATAGCAGCTTCGAAAGCAGCCATTATATCTATTTCATTGCTTCCTGTGGTTTTAAATGTTGGGCATTGAACGTTCCACATCGTCTTGTAGGCCACCAACCGCGCTTTCGGTGCCATTCCTTTAGCTGTCCCATTCGCGAGTCCTCCCCAGCTTGCGTATGGGACGATACTCCCTCCCGCCGTTGATAGGGTGTGGGTGCCATGCCCGTCTGTGTCATCTCTAGGGCTCAACTTTTGATTGAAGGTACAATTTTCTTGTATATTACTATGCTTCTCCATGCCCTTGTAAAAATATCTGGCTCCTATAAGCTTCCTGGATTTACATGAATTTTTTACAAAAATAAATCAAAATGAGACATTTAAAAAAACAGGAGTAAAAAGTATTGTACTCCGTAAGAAGTAAAGTTGATGATATAATGACCTATTGCACTTGAATGTCGGATCATATTTATTTTCGCAGGCTCCTTTGAACTTTTTGGGAATCGGGCCATAGTTTTCATCATCAGAAAAGCTTTGAATCTCCGGCCACACACCTATCTCAAATTTCAATACATAGTACATAAAAATCAAGTGTCATGCAGCTCTCGAGGCATTAGATCATCTAACATTCTAATATACTTCCTAACTAAAATGGTATTAATTTTAGAATAATATGTGTCAAAATCACACATCAATCGCTGTAATTAATGTTTATTCATGTACGTTAATATTTCTACTTTTAATAATTTTATCTAACACCCTTATGCATTCATTTTATTATTGCAAAAATCGTTAGGAAAAATTGCCATTAATAATACAACCTTTGGCCGGTTATTTTATAATAATACAATCTTTGAATTATTTTATAATAATATATCCTTTGGGGAAGTTAATTTTAAACAAGACAAAAAACTTGTAACCAAAAAATAAAACAGGTTACCTTTGACACGTATCATTATGTAATTTGTCTAAACATTAAAATTTGATTATTTTTTTTAAATTGATTTACAAAATACAAAAAAAAAAAAAAAAAAAGACGCCCCTCCATGTCCAGCCCCCTCCCCCCGCTAGCCGCCGGTGACAAGCCCACCTCCCCCACCCCGAGCCTACCTACTCGCCCATCCTTAATCTCCGACCACCGGCACCACCCCCGACCCTACTCTCCTCCACGACCCTACTCTCTTCTTCACACATCATGCCCGCCATCACCATCAATCACAAATCTCAACAAAATCAATGGTGGAAGGCGAAAAGGTTGAAAATTGGTGGCGAATTGCTGAATGGGGATGGCGGATTGGTGGCAATTGGTGGCGTTGTTTGTGATTTGGTGTGCAATTGGGGAATTGGTGATGCGGATGCAAGAAGAGGTAGTAGCAGCGGCTGCTGGGTTCGTGAAGTGTGCTGTGTGGGAGTTTCTGGTGGCTGGTGGCAGCGGTTCGTGAGGTGGCTGCTGGTGGTAGCGGCTCGTCGGTGGAATGGTAGGGTTTGTGGGAATTTTGGTGGTCTTGGTTGGCTGCGGTGGTCGGGGGAGGTGGAATGGGGGCTGTGGGGGTGGAATCGAGGCTGGTTGGTGGGTTATGTGGGAGTTTCGGCTTGGTGGTGGGGGTTGGCAGCTGTGGTCGGGAAGGGGAGGGTCGGTTCTGGTGGTGATGATGGTACGAAGTAGTACAGTGGTGGTGGGGATGGCGAGAGAGGGTGGAGCAGTGGTGGTGTTTGGGGAAGGAGAGAGAAAATAAAAAAAAATTAAAAACTTATTTAAGCCAATCATATAGCGACGACACGTGGCAGTGGTAACTTGTTTATCCGGTTGCATTCAGTTATGTCTTGTTTAAAATTAATACCCCAAAAGGTTATATTATTACAAAATAATCAAAAGGTTGTATGGTATTTACTTTATACTTGTATTTAATTATGTTCAATATTACTATCAGTTTTTTTTTTTTTTTTTTTTTTGACTTGTATATTTTACAAAGTTGTACTGTGTTGTACTTCCAAAATCAATGATTATAAAACGAATCATGTAATATTAATCAAATATGTCTTTAGAAACTTTTTTCGTATGCTCTCAAAACGAAACAAAAAATAATATTGGATCAACGCAAAACTTACCGGAATCTATGTTTGCTAAAATGATATCATCTCCTAAGTTTGCCTTATGCCATATTGAATCTTCAAGGTTGGAAGGTGGATAATGTAATCCTAAGAAATCCGCTGATCGAGTCGTTGTCGATTCAAGAATTCGACTTTCAAATATTGATACAACACTTGGATGCTCTACATGAAAGTTAAACCATGCATTAATAAATTAGATGAAAATATTTTTAGAATGAGCTTAAATTAAATAATTTCTTCATTAATTTAATTTTACTATTTAGGTTCTGTTTGATTTGATGTAAAACATTTTCAATGATAAATTAATTTTTATGGAAAACACATTTTCAAGGAAAATTGTAAATTAGTTTTCCTTTATTTGATTGCATACAAGAAAAGTTCAGGAAAAATAAAAAAATAGGAGTAGGAATGTGAGGATGGATGAGAGGGGAAATAGAAAGGAGGTAAGGAAAAGGGAGGAAAATGTGGTTTCCCTTGTTTTGTTAAGGAAAAAATATTTTCCATCATTAAGGATGCAATTTTCCACCATTGTAAAAATTGTTTTCCACCCTTCACAAGCCCAAAAAAAAAAAAAATGTGAAAATCATTTTTCATGAAAATATTTTACATCAAACCAAACGGGGCTTTAATATACCAATAGAAACGAGGGGGTAAGGCGTGAGTAAAAAAGAGAGAACTATTAGATTTAAAGCAAAAGTCAGATGATAAATAAAAAAATAATAATTAAAAAAAAATTAAAAAAAAAAAAAAAAAAAAAACCGAGCGGATGTTGTATATATTTAGATTCATCTATGCCTTACTTGAGAGCTCATTGGCCTCTTCTTCGTGTAATGTTGCAGCAAAGCCATTATATATCTTATTATAAGAATATATTATCCTTTCTGAAGATGATACAGAATCACTGTTCCATGTATGCAAACATAATCAAACCAAAGGATAATTAATTGAAGTTCAACAATTAATTAATTATCCCTTTTCAAGTAAATAAAAGATCTAAGGCAAGATACAATTAATAAATATGACACATTTGTATTATACCTCCTTAATACAGAAGAAATCAAGTCATGATGGGACTTTGTAATAGTCTCGGGACTGGCTAATAAACGAGGTTCTGCGTGGTGAGAGCCCAAGTAGACTATATAAAACTACATGCAAAAAAGAATATAATAATGATTAAAATTAAATTTACATTTTTCTTTAATCGTCACACTTTTCTTTTATGCATGTCTCAGTCTGAATTCAATCGATATGCTTAGTCAAAGATCGAAGATGAAGATGATCGATCAAGGCAAATTGATGACTTACCTTAGGGGCAGCATAGGTAGGTAATTGTTGTAATGAAAAAAGAAGTGATGATAATAAGAGACAATGTTGTAAAAGCATTGGAATTTGCATTGTTGAACAAAATCCTTCCTTCTCTTCTTTCCCTTTCTTTTTCAATCGATCTAAAACAAATGAGGATGATTAATATTTGTACCCCTTTTAAAATTTTGTTTAGATAGTAAGGAGTATGATTAATTTATAGATAGATAATTAATTATACCTTAATTACATAGCACAGAAATTAGCAATGAAGGGGTGGAGAAATTCTTTGCTATTCCAAATTATTACAAGTGGGTGATTATATTGACAAATTATATTATAAAGACATTTTCAACTAAATTTGCAATTTTTATCCACATTTTTCTCTACAACATTCTATATGTGGTTGGTGTAACCATGTAATTATATGAATAATCTAGTTTATGATCAATTGATAAAAAAAAAAATACTTTATATATATAAGGCCAATGATTTGCATTGGACGTTATAGAGGAAAGAAATTTGAAGGAGTATATCGTACGTCTATACAATGCAAAATTACGAAAATTACGAGTAAACCTGGCCCAAGATAATACATATTTCTTCTGTTTTTTTTTACTTGACCTGTTTCATTTATCACGCTTGCGAATGCAGAACTTTAATGATCAATAATTTTAATTCTCCATAAGTAAAAATTATAAAAGTTATATATTATGATAGTTTCTATTGAGACGAATCTAACAATATCCCACATGAGTATGTTTCCTTACATATAATTCACAAAAGACGGTAAAAAAAGAGATGTTGAATAGTATAAAAATTAAAGTGGGTCAAATAAAAAAGAACGGAGAAAGTACCATACAAATTGTCATTGTGACTTAACAAGCCACGCCATGCCATGCTCACGCTTATTAAATATTTCCCAATATTGTTTAAAGCATGTGATTTCATGTCGTCCTTTTAATATGTCAAAAGAATTTATACCCAAATGTATATTTATTGAGAAAATATTTATGATAAATAAAAATTCTTAATTATTCTTCATTATTACCACTGTCTTCGTTTCTCGAAAGAAGGTAGCGTTTGGTGATTTTACACATATATCTTTTGTCACTATTATCAACTATTGAGGCAATTAATGGGACTCGGGAGTATATCATATTTACAGTATATTTTTGTAAAAGTTAGTCCAATCATATTTTAAACTTTGAAATTGGGTAATAAAATTAAGAATAAAAAAAAGTAAAAAAAAGTTGCACTACTTTTAGTAGCTAACCAATCGAGTATATATATATGATGAGTAATTTGTAGTATCAAAAATATTCTTATACGGAGTATTAATTATACAAATTAAGTTTATTTCGGTCCCCCTATACTCCATGCATTTTCAATATTCTATTTGAAAGGAACGGTAGATAAGATTTGAGCCCGTAACTTTTATATTACCCTAACTTGAGCTAGTCCTTTAACATCATGTGCTAATTAATCTTATATGATTATTGCAGATGTATGTACGTCGAGCCACCAACAAGCTGTGCATAACACTGCCTAATGAGAACAAGGTTAATTCTCGGCAACACTTGAACATGTAGCATGCACCTTTGACCAAATTCCCTACAAAAATGGTATAATCGAATATTAATGAGGGTGAAAACACTTCAATTCATACATTGATAAATTATTACTCAAAAACACTACTTGCTAAAAAAAGTTGTGTTTTCGATATCCAGTTCCTACCATTTTTTTTTCGCTAAGATCTTTCAAAAACTTCTTCAGTTGCTCACTATCAGAAATGAGTTTATCATCAATTAGACCTTCAACGAGTGCAAAAAACACCACCTGAAGTTCAAAAAAAGAAAAGGCTCTCATCATCTTGTTATATGATATGATGAGTCCAAATTAAAAAAAAAAAAAAAAAAATACACGAAGAAAGTACGAAGTATATAATCACCTCTGCATAGCCACTGCTTGATTGATTGCTTTCTTCTGTATTTCTACCACAAAGATTTAAAAAGGATGTCTTCTCATCCGATGAAGTTACGAGTTCATCGGTTAGTACCTACGTTACAAAAACCAACAAAAATCAAGCCCTAACGTCTTTAAATTTGCATTATAAATGATGCATAATAAACTTTAGGTATACAAAATGCGTCAATGTTATTCATACTATGAAACTAATAATGAAGGTGCAATAATTTCTTAAATTTACTCTTTTAAGCTATTGTATCGAGTATGGATCATCAACCTTTTCAATATATTATCAAATCTATTGACCATTAAACTTGAGTTAATATAATAAGTGATCACTGTGTCTATTTACTATTTGTATTCTTATTTTATTTTTACGATAAGGAAGATCTATCTTGACCTGACCTCAACCCTTATTTTTGATCAAGTATTTGCGAATTAGGCACTTGGGAATAGAGGGGAGGATAAGAGCTGATCACCCTACCCGACCCCAAACACCCTCGGCTCACTTAGTAAGATTCAAACTCCTACCTTTAGTTAACACTTTATTGGTACGTGCCTCTGAGTTAGTTTACTATATATGCAATGGCCACAATCTATGAGTTATTATGTGTTGATGAACCTATTGGTATACTTAAATAAGTGCGAGATTTAATGTTTAAACCCAAAAATAACGGAAAATCAAACCTAATAAATTAAATGTGGACAAAATCTTCAACCAAAATCAAATTACATAATGCTCAACTTACAGAGGAGCAACTATATATCCAAAATCCTGCATAGTCCAAAATTAATCCAATTGCATCTGCAAGCAACCACAAATATGTAATACGAGTGTAGTTGAAATCCTTCTACGTACACCTTTCATTTGCCCCTTTTTCTTTTAAGTTTGCCTAATAACATATTGTGCAAATAATTATACGGGATCACAGAAAATTCTACAAGAAAAACGACTATCACAATTTTTAAAATTAAACGGTTGTGATTTAATGATTTTGAATTATTTTTTAATGCTAAAATTAATTAGACGGATCACGACTTTACTCTTAAACAATAACAAAACTCCGACGTGATGATCAGACTAATAAAAGAGATAGAAGTAGTAGCATTTAGAATTTTTAGATCGAACCTTCGGCTTCCAATTTATATGTCGGAGATGCATCGCAAGGTGTTGCCTTGGCTGAATCTTCAAGTTCCTCTTGAATTTGTTCATGATCAATCTCCAATATAACCTATTATTAGTTGTTTCGCATTTTAAAGAACTTAAGTCAAATCTCGTATATGAATAGTGTAAATGTCAAATGACGATCAATTACAATAGTAAAGAATTTACCTTTATTCCAAGAGAGGTATATTGACTTTTGTCATCAACTTCGGAAAATAAGAGCTGAAAACCAGCTTTCATCATATTAACCAACTTTGTCCTTTCATATTCATCATCAAACTTACGAGCGATAGAATCAGACTCAGACTCGGACTCGGACTCACACTTAGACTGATCAATAGTCGAGGGATTAGTCGGCTTAGAAGAAGGTGCGGTATGTGTGATGAAGAAAGGTAAACATCTTGAAAAGGAAGACAAAATGGATGTATTAACAGAAGTAGCCATAACCAAGTTCGGAGAACAAGCATTAATAGCAAATGCCGTTGTGTTTTCGAAGTCGGTCGAGATCAGATTCTGGTAGAGATCAGAGTCTGAAGCCATTTGAATGATGCTGGTCTAAGGAAATTCCAAGAGTATAGTAGGTAGAACTAGAAGGAATATAATGGATGTGTGTTGAGCAAAAAGAAGAAATTAAATCAAATTGTCTTAGTTGATTTATACTCCGTACATATGCTAATTAATTAATTACAAGCACCCGTCTTATAGACTTAAATTATTACACGCGGCCTTTGGAGTGAGGCATTTTGTTACTTTTATTCTTTTTACTTGCAACTCATTATTTAGATTAGGCACGTAATTTAAGAAATATATTAGAGGATTAGTCAGGGTACAATACATTTACCATCGATAATTAGAGAAAATGAATAAGTTAATTATTGTAGTATTATTAAACATCTAAATTTTCATCCAAATTTTTCAAGAGAAAAAGTCATGCATGTGATGCAACAACCATGCAAGTACAGTACATGTTTAATAAATTGCCTGATAATAATGTTAGTTTTTTTTTTCGTTTTTTTTTTTTTTTTGAAGGATAATAATATTAGTTAAAATGTCTTATTTTAACACATTAATTAATTTAGCTTCATTAAGAAGTCAACTGAAATAAACAATTCCAACTAGGCTACTAATTCCCCACCCGGAACGTATTAAGGATCTAGGTCGGGATTATGGGGCACCTTGGCTAAGAAATTTTCAAAATTCAAAAAAATAAGTTCATAAAAAAAATGAAAAAAAAAAAAAAAAAGTGTCTCTACTGTTCCAATTAGGGGTATTCAAAATCGGTTCAAGCTGGAAAGTTGAACATTGACAAATATATTAATCAAAGTAACGTACGTATGTACTTGTTATGAATTATCGAAAAAACCCAGTCCAAAATGCTTTTAATTTTGTATGTTTCTTTGGATTTAGTTTAATTAAAAACTCATGTGTTTCACGTACCAAAAACCTAATGTAATGAAATGACCATATACAAGCAATCAAATATGCAGATTTTAGGTTTATGATGTCATAAACTCAGTAAATATGTGAGTGGTTTTAGTCTTATCAGTGGCGGAACCAAGGGGGGTTGGCGTAGCTCATGACCTCCCCCTTGGCTGTATTTATTTCTTAAAAGTAGCAATAAATTTTATATGTTAAGTTGTACGGAGTAGTGGATTTGGTTTGCAAAATTCATACTTTGTTTTTCTCATCTTGGGTGAATTCGAATCTTGTGCATTGCAATTTTTTTTTATACGAGTTTGTTTTAGCGCACTCAGTAAAAGCATTTGTACGGAGTAGTGGATTTGGTTTGCAAAATTCATACTTTGTTTTTCTCATCTTGGGTGAATTCGAATCTTGTGCATTGCAATTTTTTTTTATACGAGTTTGTTTTAGCGCACTCAGTAAAAGCATTTGTACGGAGTAGTGGATTTGGTTTGCAAAATTCATACTTTGTTTTTCACATCTTGGGTGAATTCGAATCTTGTGCATTGCAATTTTTTTTATACAAGTTTGTTTTAGCGCACTCAGTAAAAGCATTTGTCTCCCTATTTCCAAATTGTACTTAACTCAATTATTTATTTTTGTATTAATAATTGGGTCTCACTCATTTAAATTATTGTTCTAGAATTGGAGATTTTTATATATATTACAACGAAATATAAATAATCGTTTTTGTTTTTATGAGATACAAGTGCATAAGATTTGGCCTCCATAAGAAAAAAAAACGGATTTTTCACCATATACCACTAAGTTTTCACTTAATTCACCATATATCATCGAAAACTTTCTAATTCACCATATACCATTCACTTTTATGAAAATGTCACAACATACCATTAATGACTAACAGACGTTAACACCGTTAGTCATTATGGCTAATAAGGCCACGTGGCAACATATAAATATATAATTGGTTCCCTTTTTAAATTGTTTAATTTAATTAACAAAAAATTTAAAAAAAAAAAAAAAAAAAAACAACCACCCACGTCCACCCAGCCAGCCACCACCACTACTAGAAATAGGTTGATTTCCGTTGGAAATTTTGAATTTTCCGAGGAAATTTAATACGTCGTAAAATTATCCCTCGTAAATTTTCCGACGGAATTAATTTCCCTCGGAAATTAATACTTTCGACAGAATATTCCGTGGAAGTATTAATTTCCGAAGGAATTTTTAATTCCTTCAAAACTAATTAAAAAAAACAATGCTTATCTTCACTTCTGCATTGTATCGAAATAGAAACAGAAAAAAGGAAAGAGAAAGACCGGCGACTACCAGATCCGCCGCCGCAACCACCGACCTTACACCGCCGTTATTCCTTGGCCGCCGTTGGGTAAGTGTAGTGCATTTTGTTTTTTTTTTTTTTTACTTTAATTTTTTCGGTCGGATCCCTAACCGGAACCACCATGTCTACAGCCACCCCCGTTCCTCCTTCATCGGTGTGACCAGAACCACATTTTGCCGCCCCTGACGCCGCCGCGAGGTTAGTGTTGTTGTTTTTTTTTTAATTATTTCAATGTATCCTGCGCTAAACCCTAACTACCTCTTCGCAGCCACCATCGACGCCACCTCCACCAAGCTACCTCTGACCTCCACCCCTCCGTCGCCGCGACCAGAACCACCATACTTTCCCCCTACTGAAACTTCCGGTAAGTCCTCCTACTTTCCCCCCCCCCCTTTTATATATTTAATGAATTAATTTCCTCCACCACCCTTATTTTGCAGCCACCACCGACGCCACCTCCACCAAGCTTGTCGTGCAGCCACCATCGAGTTTATATCTACCCATAATGAGTTCTTTTTCCCCTTTTTTTAAATTCAATTTTATTTTGGTAAAATAATAAACTCTTATTAATTTTTTATTTTTAATTTTTTTGTAGGATTTGTACAAAAGAAGTGCAGATCTAAAGGTTAGTCACATTACAAACCCTAATACAATGCATGTTAGTTTAGTTTAGTTTAGTTTATTTTAATATAATGTAGTTTAATTTAGTTTAGTTTTATATAATGTATGTTAGTTTAGTTTAATATTATGATATGTTAGTTTGGTTTGGTTTAGTTTAATATGATGTATGTTAGATTACTTTAGTTTAATATAATGTAGTTTAGTTTTGTTTAGTTTAATATAATGTAGCTTAGTTTAGTTTAGTTTTATATAATGTATATGTTATTTTGGTTTAATATTATGATATTTTAGTTTAGTTTGGTTTTGTTTGATTTGGTTTATTTTAATATTATGATATTATGATATGTTAGTTTAGTTTAGTTTAATTATGATATATTTGTTTAGTATAATGCATGTGTCATTTACTATATATATTTTGTAAATGAATCATTTGCATAATCATATGCCTATATACACATTTAAGGCATACACAATAGGAGTATGCCTTGAATAGTCCCCGGTTGGGACTGTCCTTGTACGCTTATTCTCACTTCGGTGGTGAATGTATGCCTTGTTATTGATTCTAGGGAATATCCTGGCTTCTCATTTCTCTACAATGTTCTCTGGATACATATGTAGGTGTGTCTAATCGCCTACATCGTGTACTTGGAGAACTGTAGGGAAATGCTGCCGGATTTTCTATAGAATTAAAAACCTGGCTTACATTCACTAGTGGGATTACCAGTACAAGCTAAGGATGGGTTAAGTTGGAGTGATAAGGAACCCTGGACATCATTTCAAATCTCATTTGCATCTCCATAACACATTGGTGGTGCACCCTGTTCTAACACCGTCCGCCGGCGCGGAAACTGGCCAGCCAGCCAACAGGGAATCTCACCAGCCGGCGCGGAATCCGCTCACCCAGCCACCACCACTATCCCACCACCTTAAAACCTTCTCCCTCCCTTAAAAACTCTCGTTCCCCAACAACCAATGCACAAACCACCGGCGCCCAAACCTCTTCCCCGGCCGTCGAACCTACATCACCCCTCCCTCTTCCAACTCCAATCCTTTCCCCCCTTAATCCACCACCCCAAAACCCTAAAATCAAAATCTAAGGTTTCGATTTTGGGTTTTGGGGTTTTAGGTTGGTTGTATGCAGCTAAATCGGGCGGCGACAACGTGAGGGTGGGGGATCTGGGCGCAGACGTTGGGTTTCGACATGCTGGTTTTCGGCAAAGGTATTTTGGTTGGATGGTTGTTCGTTCGCAGAAAAGGGAGGGAATTCGAGTTGGGTATGGTGGTTTAGTGGAGGAACGCGGGCACCGGCGCAAGACAGGGAGGTTGTGCGGCGCCGGCGCGGTGGGGAATGAAAGCAGTTTGGAGCCGACGATGATGAGTAAGGCTAGGTGGCGATTATGGGTGGTCGGGATGGTGTCTGGGCAGTAAGTGGTGGTGGTTTTCTTTTTTTTTTTTAATAAGTTTTGTAAAAAGATTTTTTAAATTAATTAATTAAAATAAGAGCCAATTAGAGGCTACCACGTGACTTAATTAACTAAGAATGACTAACGGAGTTAAGGAAAAGGGCATGTTGTGACATTTTTGTTAAACTCAGTGGTATATGGTGAATTAGAAAGCTTTCGATGATATATGGTGACTTAAGTGAAAACTCAGTGGTACATGGTGAAAATTCCGTAAAAAAATTTCTAGCTCCACCACTGAGTTTATGACGTCATATATCAACTTACTCAAGACATCTAAATACGGACAACCTTAAGAGTAGTCAAAGGAACCAAACACAAAACAAAAAAGTCAGGCCAAATTGGTACTTCCCGGAATCTGTTCCACCTTATCTTGTGGATCTAATCACAAACAAAATTGCTACTTCTTACAAATTGATGATATTTTTAAGGTTGTTGAAGTCATCTTAAACCAACCCCAAAAAAAAAAGGAAGAATACAATAACACCTAGTCATCTTTAACACCCCACCGTACCACCCAAAAAATATAAAAAATAAAATAGTAGTCATCTTAAAATATTACTTGTAAAATCTAGAAGAATTCAATATTACCTAGTCATCTAGCTAGCTAGATGCCCTTAAAGACTTTTACTTCATAGACCATTGTATTAATTTAAAGATCTTGATAACACATGTCTACAGAGTGTCAGATAATAATTTAAAAAATTTCTTAACATGTTATTAATTTAGAAATACATGTTAAAATTACGAGTTAATTGGTATAATTAATGTTTATTTTAATTTAATATTAGATAAGACCTGTGTGATGCACGGATTACAAAAAATTTTGAAATGAAATAGTTTATTTCTATTATTTAAGTTCCTGTATATACTTATAAATTAGATGATAAAAGATATCTAGCTATCATCATAAATTACATGAGTAACAAAATATAAAAATGAAGTCAATCTAATCTAATCAAACCATATGCATACCAATTTATATACTCCATATCTAAGAGTTTAAAACACAAAATAAAAATACTTGTAATTTAAAGATCCTAATTTAAATAAATACCTTGGAAATATAAAACAATGCTAACATTTACTTCATAGCATCCTTAAAAAAAAATTAATAATAACATTAAAACCTTAAAAAAACTTCGTAGTTACCGAAAAAGTTTAAGCTCGATATCAATTTATTTATTCTAACCAAAAAAAAAATTTATTTATTTATTTATTGACACAGTCAAAAGATTGAAATGAAAATGATTAAAAATAAAAAAAATAACCAATTCCTTAAAATATATATATATATATATATATATATATATATATATATGATATCATAAGTGCATTTGGCGGGAAATTTTTTTTATGAGAAAACGACACATATACAGTTTGGGAGAGAGGATGATGTCAGCAGTTTTCTATTTTAGTAATAGTTAATAGATTTTTCTTCTTGTCAAAAAAAAAAATTAATATTTTTCTTTTAATTATCTTATCTAACACCCTTGATGACATTTGTTGATGTTTACCTAAATTAAATGTGAAGTAGTACGGATTGAAATTTTTTAATTTTTTTTTTTTCTATTCTATTCAAATTTTAAACAGTTTATTTTGTCTCATGCCGTGCATTAAAGACATCCTATTATAATAAGTTATCTATTTCACAACCCTCGGTACGGTAGTACTCCATAGTCTTTAACCTTTGCATGTTCTCCTAGATTACTTATTGACATTGTTGCAAGTCTTGTAACAGTTACTTATTGACATTGTCTATAATTGTAAACTTAGGCGTAATTTATTTATTTATCCCAAGGAAGGTTTTAATTTGGTTACCTTTGGATTTGGGTAGATGTCTTTTTTTTTTAATCAATATTGAATAACGACATAGCAACTTTTGAGGAGAGTCATGTTAAATTCTTCGTATAAATCAATTATAGTTAGTTGAAATTTATGGAAGTTAGTAAAATAGGAATAATTCTTCATTTTCAATAGATGGATCACATTCACATGCCTTTCCGTTTTATAGACATTATTTTAACCATTGAGTAATTTTTATATACAGTGTATATACTTTATGATAAAAGAATAATGATTTACAAAACCCTAAAAACTACATATAAAGAGTTAAAATTGAAAAAGATAATTAAAACAATCATTCATCACTAAAAACTACGTGTAAAGAGTAAAATTGAAAAGATAATTAAAATAATCACTCATTACAATAATTAATGTATTACTCTCTCCGTTTTAGGAGAAATTGGAGAAATACTCCGTAATGAAATGTGGAGATAGCGGGGTTGGTGGGAGAATAAAAAATTATAAAAAGCAAAAGTAGTTGAGAGAATTAGAGGAGAGATAATGTGAAATTAATAAAATATAATTTATGTTGGGTCCACTAGTTAAGACTTGTGAGAAATGAATTAAATATTATAAAAGCTTTCCAAATAAGGAAATGAAACAAGTAATTAAAAACGGTCGAAAATGAAAAGTGGAGTAAGTAATTAAAAATGGAGGCCACCAGGGAGTATATATAATTCTATAATGCATTCCTAAAATATCAATCGGTGAGAGATGTTAAATGTTTGAGAAGGTATTGTGTGATCAGACTTTTGATGAGATGCATATAAATTATTGGCCATTTCATATTTTCATACAATATAAGTTTTTTAACATCTCGTTATATGAATTTAATTAGATGTAACGTTTTTTGACTTTTCGTGTATAAGTTTATTTTGGATGAGTGAACTCATGCTGAAACACACATGATCACCCACCCAATACTTTGTGTAAATGCTTGCTTGCAAATCATTACCCTAAGTCCCTATAAAATAGTATAGTATCTAATACACTCAAAGTTTAAAAGTAAATTCTATACGTTCATCATCTCTATTATATTTAGCTAACATACTTTCCTAATTATAAAATCGTCTAGACAATTTTTTAAAACAATTTTTTTTATTTGATGCGAAGGAGGGTTAAAATTAAACCCAAACAAAAAGCAATGACAACATATTTATACACATATGTAAGTGTAAAAAGTTAGGATCAAAATTTTGTGAAGTTTATAATTATTGCTAGTTTTTTTTTCTTTTTTCTTTAACAAGAAATTAATGCTAGTTGTGAGATGACAAACAAAGTTTGACTTTAAAAACTAGATTAATTCTAATTATATGCTTCATACTAATTCAACTAGTTGTATTTCAAAATTTAAAAACTCAACTAATGTATTTATAATGTCTTTTCCTTTTTAATTCCAAGTTCATGACAAATACAGTACAACTACTCCAAGGCTCCCCAAGCTTAACTAGCTAGATTAGTATGTAGTTTATAAATGCTTTTATGCATTTAAAAATGATATACAAATATATATATACATACAACCAACCCAAGATCGATCCAAAGTCTGATCTACTCTCTCACTAAGCTAGCAAGCTTAGCCTCCGATCAGCTGGCCGACGAACCGGTTTAACCCGGTCTAAACGACATACGAAGTATATATATATTATACATCTACAAATTTTCCAGGTATATATTTTTTTTTTCCTCATCTATTAATCTTATTTAAAATATGAATATTTTTTATACTACATTTGTAATAATGAACAAGTGCTTGATCTTCATCCTAATACCTTAGAATTTTCAAGAAAATAGATAAGATTAAATTGTGCTAGTAGATGGTAAGTTAGATCTTTTTTCGTGTTGAAACTCAATTTTTTATGAGTACATGATATCTATAGATTGCAACCTTTGAAGTTTGTAGTCTAGGAATGTTGTAATGCCAATGGTTACTAGCTTAGCTTACGACTATATGAGTATATGGTGATTTTATATTATTTTATTTTATTTTGATTTCAAGTCTAGAAAAATTAGATTATAAGGCCATAAACTATACCAAATTTTTATGTAATAAATTGCACATAACTCACAAGAAAACTAATACTACTATGTGAAGGAAAAAACATATAAACTTCATATTGATTGACTTCATAGAGAAAGAGAAAGAGAACTACTATGTACTGTATTGACTAACATTACCATGATATATTCCGATCCCTTTAATTTGCTCTACTCCGTCACTTTTATTTTCATATTAAATTTCTCTTTAGTTTGTACAAAAAATATAATCATGTGGTAGGATATATTAGTTTCATCATTATTTAATGTGTTAGTTTAATGTTTATATACTAATGTAATTATAAATATTGATGGTGTCAAAGGATATCGTGCAAACTGAATAGACACTATATATTTTGGGATAGAGGAAGCCCAATAAAAAGGCCAATTAGGTCTCACAATACATCTCATTTCCACAATTTCATTTTGCAATTCAAATTAAAGTTTTAAAAGAAAAAAAAAAAAAAGGTAAAAGCTAACGAACGTCCCAAGGACGTTGGATAAGATGACTAAAAGTAAAAATATTAACTTGAAATTAATATTAATTACACCAATCCAATACCAAAAAAATTGCTAAGTTTCCTATAGTATGTGTTTAAACTGTATGAAAGTTTGCTGTATTTTTATATGTATGCAGTGAAAGTTATGGCTCTAGCAATACCAATACCAGAGAAATTGCTGAGTTTTCTGTTGGAGAAGGTTGTACCTGTACTACAGGCCGAGACACGAAAGTTTCAGAGTGTCCCGGAATTAGTAAGTGACATCAAAAATGAAATGGATATCGCTAAAGATTATTTGAAGAAGGTCGAGGTAAAGGTAGACAGAATAGAAGATGGATCAAAAGATAAGCTCAAGCAAGTGAGTAAGTTAAGGTCATTGGTGTTTAAGATTGAAGATATCATAGATGACTACGAGCTGATTAAGCAACAACAATTAGGCCACCAAAGCGAAAAAGTTGACAAAGGGTGCATGATCGGAATGTGGAAAATATTAGATCAAAGTTCTAAAGATGTCGAGGGTTACAAGGACAAACGTGGGATTGCTTGCTCGATTGTAAGGATTAAAAACGCAATGGAAAAAATAAAAGGAAATGGAAAAGGATATGAGGAAACGATTTTTGCTCTTGGTGAGGAAGATTCGGGGAAAAAGAAGCTTGACCCTGGAACTTGTCCGCTTTATAAGGATGAGGAAAATTTTGTAGGGTTTAAGGAACGTGAATTGATTGTAAAGAAGAAATTACGTTTGGAGGATGAGAAGTATGACGGTAAACAGTTTGTATTAGCAGTTTGGGGTCAGCCGGGACTTGGGAAGACAACTCTTGTTCAAAAAGTGTACGAGAATGAAAGGAATAATTTCTCATACTATGCTTGGATCACAGCAACCAAGCCTTACTCAAGTGTTGCTCTACTCAAGTGTTTGTTTAAACAGTTCATATATAGTTATTCTTCTGCAGACAATGTTTCTGCTGACAGTATTTCTGTAGAAGAAGTGCAGAAATTACCAGATAATGAGGCGACGATCACTGATCGTTTAAGGAGTTACCTAATGATAAACGATGCCAAAAAAGGGTAATTTTTGCAGACTTCATTCATAATTCTATTCCTGAACATGATTGCTAATTCTTTGATATTCAGTTCTTACTCGTATTTGACAGGAATAATCCTAACTATTGTTACTCTGCTAATAAAAATGTCAGCTGTATTTACCTGATATTCAAAATAATGATCCAGTGACTTGCATCAAGCAGTTCAGTAACTCATTCGAGTCACTTGTCGCATTGCAATGTGTAAAACTTACTATTACAGCTTATATAATTCGGTTTACTATGTCTGAACAATAGATTAATATGAAACATTACTCGTTTATAGATGGTGTTAATTATATACCTTCATTGATTCAAACAATAAGGTTTGGAAAAGATAGCTGAATAAGTACCGACGTTTGTTTCTGTTTACAGGTACTTGGTGGTTCTTGATGATGTCTCGGAAATGGAGGAGTTGTCTAAGATCATTCAGGCTACTCTGGTACCTAGTTACAGCAAAGGTGGTCGAATACTAATGACAATGAAAAGTGAACACAATGCAAATTATTGGAAGACTTCAAGTACTTACGGTGAAGCCTACAATCTGCAAGTTTTATCTGAAGAAGAGGCCAAGCGTCTCTTCAATAAGAAGGCATTTGGGAACGAAGGAAAGTGCCCTCGGAAGCTAACAAGTTTACGGGACAAAATTGTGAAAGAATGTGATGGTTTGCCCTTCCTGATTGAGAAAGTAGGGGCAATTTTCTCAACCACGGATAAGTGGATTGAGTTGTATCAGAATTTCCAAATCAACCCTGTATCACCGGAGTGGAGCAAGGACAATCTACTCTTCAGCGGCTACCACGAGATGCCTTATCATCTTAAGCCTTGTTTCCTGTATTTATGCATGTTTCCTAAAAGTTGCAAATTCAAAAGAACGAGAATAGTTCGTCTATGGATTGCTGAAGGTTTTGTGGAAGCCAAGGATCATAGCACTCTCGAAGAAGCTGCAGAAGAATATCTTAATGAACTTGTTGAAAGAGGTATGTTTTCGAAACAGAATATGTACTTAGGTTCCATTCTTCCATATAAAATCTAAATAACTCTAGGATATAAGGCTCTATTCTATTTTACCTATGAAATTAAGTTCTAACAAAATAAGTAAAATGTTAGAACTCCTTGTGACATACAAATATGCATCTTATAGGTATGCTTCATCTCTTGAAAAGCGACGAAACAGGAAGAAACAGGACTTTAATACTTCCTTGTATGTGGCAACATGTAATGTTCCAAAAGTTGGCAGACTTGAGTTTTTGTCAAGTGTTAACGCAAAACAGGTTAAGCACAAACAATCAATGTCGAAGGCTTTCGATTCACAAGGATGCACCAAATACAGTCATTGCCTCAAGTGTCCGCTCAATCCTTTCATTTGTCCAACTTGAAAAATTTCCGATTGCATGGTCATCGCCATTCCAGGAAGCTGAATTCCGGCTAAAAGTACTTGACCTTCAAAATGCCAAGTTTGTTGATGTCCCGAGAGTGGTGGGAAAACTGCATAACTTGCGTTATCTAAGCATGAGAAATACCAAGGTTAATAAACTGCCGGAAACTATAGGTGGACTCTGGAACCTTCAAACCTTGGATCTCAAAAACACTGATGTAAAGGAGCTACCAACAGGAATAAATCGCCTTCACAAGCTCCGACATCTTCTTGTATGCCATTATAATGAAGACGAAAAGATGGTGCCAGTAAAGATACCCGAAGGGGTATTGAGTAACTTCAAGGACCTGCAAAAGCTAGCATTTGTGGATGGAAGTCTATATTTACCAAAGGGGGATCCTCAAAAGGAGGAATTACAAGAAGAAAATTCACAAAAGGAGGATGGCAGTTCCAAACCAATTGTTGGTTTAGTGCCTGGTTTGGACAAGCTAACACAATTGAGAAGGTTGGCAATAGTAAATATGAAGAAGGAGAACATAAAGCCCTTTTGTAAGGCGTTAGAAAATATGAAACAGCTCCGATCATTGAGTGTCAGAATGCTAAGTGATGAAGATGTTCTTGATTTGAGCCACATCAAATCTCCTCCTGAATTTCTAGAGCGGCTTTACTTAATAGGGCCTTTGAAGCAAAAACAATTGCCAATATGGATACATAAACTCAAGCATTTGGTTAGGTTGCTGTTGAAAAACTCAGGTTTTGAGAGCGATCCGCTAGAAAAGCTCAAGGTGATGCAAGAATTGCTAGTGCTTGAACTTGATAATGCATATGATGGTAAGGTCTTGGATTTTGGTTACAAGGGACTGAGGAAACTGCAAGTGTTACGTATCAGACGGTTAACAAATTTGAAGACAGTAAAAGCCGGAAAAAATGCTCTACTTCAGCTCCGTCTGGCTGTACATAGAGATTGCCCGACGTTGAAGAACATTTCCCTTCCACCTCAAATAAATGAAGTTATTCAAGAGTTTAAACCAAGCAAATCTCCTAAGCAAAGGGTCAATTGATTTATCTTCCAAGCTTTTTTTTTTTCACTTTGTTCGAGTATTTAGTATTACAAAAGATTGAATTCTAAGTTTCTAACCTTCTAATTCATACTGTATGATGGTTTAATAAAATAAATACTTCCTCCGCTTTTTTTTTTTTTTTAGTTGCAACATAATAACATTTCTACATGTGCACTATTCACATACAATTACACAAGAACATATGATATTTCGATTATACAAATGTAAGTATAATCCAACAGCATTTATAAGAACATTTTTTAATCGTAGATTAGTAAAACAAAAATAGTCTATGAATAGTACAAATAGTCTTGAACTAAAGAAGATGCACTATCATGGACATTGACATGAGAATAGGTAGTATTCAGAACCTTAACAAAGAAAAAGCCTACTAGGAAAGGGAGATACATCATTATGAACAGTACATGAGTAATTGAGTATTAGGGTACTCGGAAACGACACGTGACATAATCTTGAGGTTACTCATACATTCAATAACAGGTTATGCTCACAAGCCATCATAATTAGAATTGATTTATGTTCTTTATGTCTCTTATCAACTGTTCATATATCATAAGTCACAAAGCCAACAAAAACAGCGGAGACCTGTAACATATATTCATATGCAAAGAGGGTATCATCCAGCAGGCATAACTGATCTAGATTAAGAGCTTCAATAAATCAAGAAATGGCTTCATATAAATCAATTTCATAATTACAGAAGATGTGATAACCGAAGCATATAAAGGGCATTACAATATTTTCAAAAGCTGCACCTCAAAGATCAAAGGCTCGTTTGCATGGGACAGAAGGCTACGTCGAGGGCCAAACTGCAATGAACAACCATGAGTTAAATGTCTAGAAACATATTAGTATGGAGGAGAAAAGGAGAAACGGATAACAAGTCTACTCCATCTAAGAGAAATAACCTCCTCTGGGATGGGTTTCAAACTTTCATTTACATATCCCGTTGATGGCGGAATCAAGGCTCTTCTCTTCCCTAAAAGTATTCAATGAAGCATATACTCCAGTTAGTTGATAAAGAAAGAGAAGCCAGAAGTAAAAAGTTAAGGATTTCCATCAAAAAAAGAGTTAAGGATATATAACGTGCAACAAGATCAAACCACATCAGATGCATTAAAGAAAAATCAAAGGGGGAAAGTCAGCAGTATTACATCAAGAAATAAAAACTAGCAGGCCCATAGATAAGGGTTACAGCTTAACAACAAAGAGATAGCAAACATCTACAGATTCAACAGTGAATTTACGTACCACTATTAAAACAAATGATAATCCACATGCAACAGTAAAATTATGTTACAGAAATTTTTATAGTGGCACCAAAAATCTTGGAATTTCACCTGGGAGTCCCTAATTATTCCTTTGAATTAGGCATTTTTGGGAGGTTCAAGACCCTTATAAACTACCAAAAGATTGACCTGCAAATTCTCAATCTAGAATAAAGTGCTACTCCGTATATGTATACTATTTGGGTAGAATTTGACATGGATTTCAAGAATCCTCAAAAGTTCAACTCGTATCATATTATTGTCTGCCAATATAAACCATAACCAGTCATTGTTACTGTCTGGGATACTCTTATGAGACTCAAAAGGATGATTCCAGTCACTGTAGAAGCACAACAAAGGTAACTATGGTCTCTGATGGAGCTTGTTATTCACTTTCTTTTATTAGGCTTTTAGAAACATGTGGCCTAGATGCTGATCAGGCCTATGAGATTGACCTTAAGTGATAAACCTGCTTTTTATTCCTTGAATTACGGTAGGCTCACACAGCAATTTCCATTTCTTGGCCAGCTGCAAGAGATCAGAACTGAAGAGATGCAAAAATCTAGGAGGATGAAATAAGAAAAGAGATGTGGAAACCCAGGCATTAAACTAAGGTAGATAGCCAACATCTTTTAAGCAGATATAATAGATTGATTAACTTTCCAGAAGAACGGCAGAGGTTTATACAGCAACCACCAAAAGCTTAAGATTAGTCCCATACTAAATCATTTGCAATTTCAAGATTCAACCTAGAATATACGCATAGATGTTTCACATATGCTCAGTAATCAACCTTTCAGATTTCTCTAATTATATAAGGAGCATGTCACTACCAAGATTTAGATCAAATTAAAGCAATATGTCAATCTGTCACATGCAAGTCAAAAGCCGCATTTTTCGGTTTTTCCCCTTTAGACAAGAAAGAGTTAATCGTTTTAATAAGAGAAAAGAGGAGTGAAGCTGATTCAGGATTCCAGACAATACTGTAGAGCAACACTTTTTGGAAAATCCATATCACCTTCAGAAATTCAAATACATGCATCAAAATAAACATCTAAGTGAATATAATCAGCTTAGGAAGGGGACTCAAAAATTTTCAAAAGTTTGACACATTAATAAGTAGTACCACGTGTGGCGTTTTTGGTATTGCTCAAGGCTCAAGCAATAATACAAAAGTCCAATAGCAAACAGGTAACATATCTTCCTCAAACAATACAGATATTCACCCAATATGTCATTCAGAATTTACCTCCAACTTTCATGCCAATTAATACATCCTTCAAGCCTTTTATGATCTGTTTACAACACATGATATTAGTTACTTACACATCTCACATTTATAAATATTTTCCAAAAGGAATCACATTATGGCTGCACAGATGCTCAAGCTACCCAAGATGATAGTATAATACATCCTTGAGCATCAAGAAGCACCATACTGTACCATGACCCCTATACCTCTCAAGAGGCTTCTGCCAATGAAAGGGGTAAAAAGTGAGTAGTATATATACATATCCAAGTGCCAAGAGGCACAGATTAAGAGAAAATGTTCCTAATCAATAACAAAACCCACATTGAAAAAAGGCATTGAAGGTCTATTACTCCAAAATAAAATTTAAAGAACTAGACAATTTAGGGTCCATTCGGTATCACTGTAATTTTCAATTTTTGTTTTTGAAAATCATAAAATATATGTCATATAAAGAATCAACAATTAGACAAACCTATTGAAATTATGGTTATTTAGAAAATTGACAACAGAAAAGTGAAAACCACTTTTTCCTGATTTTCTTTTTTGTTTCATTGTTTTCAAAACTGAAAAATGAAATAAAACACGTCAACCAGCAGGCCTTTTAAGAGACGATTTATTAACTCATTACAATTTAAAGCAGAAAAACAATGCACCAACAAGCCATTGCATCAATATAAGAGTTAGGAGTACTATTAAAGGAGTAATCAGAAAGAAACTATGTCCTAGAATTATGTCCTTACTTTTTAGAGCTCTTTTTGCATGGGGTATTTACCTGTTTTTCATCCAGAGTAAGTGTAACAGGCATGGCTTCTCCAGTAAATTGATCTACTGTGCTGAATCATATGCATCAAACAGAATAAGCCTGGGAACATACAGGTGGTTTGCACAATAATGGGAGAAGGGAAGTGAAACAATAAAGCGTAGTTTCCAGAACTTGATTAAAATAAAAAAAATAAAAAAAAAATAAAAAAAGGTTAAAGAAAGGGATTAAAAATTATAGTTACAGGAATCAAGAATCCAAAATTATTCTAAGAAGAATAATAGGCGATGAAATCATGGCATAGCACAAAGATTAGAAAAGAAGGAACAAGCTGGAGGGTGTGGGGGGAGGATATATGTAATTCACATACCTGTAAACAAAATACCCATTTGATCGCCGACAAACATAATTAAATGCTACAACATCTCCTTCCTTAGCTGCTGGTCCCTCTCCATCAACAATATCTGAAACAGACCACAATCGACTCAGAAAATTTCTATGGTTGAACCATGTATGGAGCACATCCCTTATACATGTGCGATGGCATAGATGATATTTACAAGTAATAGGTTTAAGGGCTGTATGGATCAGATTTCACTTGAGGGTCAACGATTGATGCTAGTGTGTATCCTAATCCTACCTGAATGTATCAAGGAGTCATTTCACTTAGTCTAGAAGTTTCACCATGTTATCTCCAGGATTCCCGGGGTTCAAACGAGGGTATTTCATGCTCGAAGAAAAAGATATCCGGGGTTCAAACGAAGGTATTTCATGCTCGAAGAAAAAGATCTCAGGGGTTCAAACGAAGGTATTTCATGCTCGAAGAAAAAGATCTTGCAAACATAATAGGTTGGAATAGTCCATCCCCTGCCTCCACCTTCCAATTTTTGACAAAAACTAACACTGTGCTTAAGATTTTAAATAGCTATGGTGGAAGGAAAGGAGAGGGAAGGAGAGAGAAAGGAAATGAAGTGAAGAGGTGAGCTTGCATTTTCCTTTTTTTTTCAACATCAAAAGGATTTGGCTTGTTAAAAAGGAAAGAAAACCAATCCCTCCAATTTCCAATTCCAATCCCTTCCCTCTTCCCCAAATCATATCCAAACAAGGCAGTTTCTCTTCCCTCCCCCTTCTCTTAAAATTACCCTATCTAAACACATAATAACCGATTGAGTCAAGGCAATGAACAGGTATTGTACCTCTGCTGATGGTACCAATCATTAGCATATAATGGACTTACTTAGTGCTACACACCCTTCTTTCTCTCGCAAACTCCTATACTGCTGTTCTCTCTTTGGAGTACACTGGTTGGGCAGCACATAAATTACTCTAGACAGAAAGTATGCACATCTTGGCAGAAGGGAAAGGCTACATACAAAAAAGGCAAAAAGCCAACAGACCACAAGAGTGAAACTCTAGGAATATGAAAACTACTCTTTGCAGCAGAAATTTTCAGTATAAAGACTATGAACAAGTTTCATGTTATAATACATTGATACACAAGGAAACATCAAGTTCAGGACCATAATTAAACCAGCAACCTTGCAAGAAAGCATGATGTCCAATGACAAATATACCTTGAACCCTACTCCACTGGGAAGCTTCCTGGTACTGGATACTTCAAACATCAAATGTCATTTGCACAGAAGATGAGCTGAGTAGCATGCCAGTTATAGAAAAGAGAAATGCTGGAAAAACTTGGCAATTTACCGAAGTATTTCAGGCTCCTCCATCTGAGGAATTGGTGCACCAAGAGCAAGATTTACATTATACAAGATAGGTATAGCTCCCATGGAAAGTAACATCCTCCTTGAAAGGTTTCTAGCAGTCAAAGAAGCAAAATTGGAAACAGAGTAATTTGCAGTGACATTGAGTTTTCTAGTAGTACCACTGTAAGAGACGATAGAGATTATAAGTTAGTCTCTACAAGTGTAGGATTACACAGAAATTTTCAATTAAAAAATAATGTACTCAAATTGACGAACAAAGAAAACTGTCACTACTCTAAAAAGCTTCTGATTTCAGCAAAGTCGTAATTAGTTTAATGTGGTGGGATGTTTTCACAATTTAAACGAGAGAGAAAGGGAGTATAAGTTTATTGTAAAGATACTGTTGGTAGCAAATGAACAAGAGGTTACTTTGCAAAAGAAAGAATGGTGCAATATTCTCAACCTCATGTTTTTCATCAATTAATGCATGAATATTGGTAGAAATTTCTTTACATTGTATTAGATTTAAAAAAAAAAAAATTGATTTGTATATTAAGTTCAATAGAACTTTAATCGGCTTTTAAACTACTTTGTATTTTATACATAGGTTCCTTGCTTTAGTGAGATGGAGAACATAGGTTCCTTGCTTTAGTGAGATGGAGAACATAGGTTCCTTGCTTTAGTGAGATGGAGAAAACTAGGGAAAGAGAGAAGAAAGAAAACGCAAAATGATTAAAATGCAACATTTATTTCTAGAGTAGATACTTCTCTCGTCTCTGTATCTACAAGAGAACGGAGAAGAATATGAAACTAACTTCTTAGGGAGAGGATATTTCCACCCCATTTTACCCCGAAAAACCAATTATACATTGCCAATTCTTATACTAGCAAATTCCTTCAAAAACAGCTTATCCTCTAGGTGTATAACTGTATATCATATCACATTTTTCCAGTTATTTAGGCCAACTAGGCAACTACATATCATCGCCCGTTCTATCGAAGGACATGAGTTAATGTATGACAACTACATATCATCGCCGACTAACAAGGATTTTAATATTGCAAGTGACTAGCAAGCTATTATGATTTCAAAGAAAAAGTTGCATTATAGCAGTGTTAGCCAGCCAACCAATTATTTCCTAATTTAATGTCAGGTAACTTTCTTTTCTGTTAATGACAGTATATTCCAATCATATGCAACAATTTCTCTAACCAAATTTGATTCTAAATGTCATAAAGCAACTACCGGAACAAAAAAAAATCATACCTTTTTTCATGGAATCCAAAAACCCTATCAAGATTTTTATATAACCCAAGTTCAATATGGTAAACAATTCACATTCAAAGCATTACAAATTCATATATCATATCAAATTAGCCATAAAATTCTCAAATTGCCTTCAATTTGATAAGACTTCGCTCCAAATTGAACAATGATTTCAACTACCAACATTCGGAAAAAAAATATATAATTCTTAATAAAATAAAAAGAAAAAAAATAGATGATATTGAACACTGAAATAAGCTTAGATTTAATTGGGAATTCAGAATAAAATAACAAATAACCTAAATTAAATAAATGTAGAATTTTGAATAAAATATTACCGTGGTAGCAATGAAGGGCAAGGAAGAGAAATTGAAAGTTGCGGCAAAGTGACAGGCGTGAACGCCATTGTTATGCAGGCTGAATTTTTGTTGAGCTTAAAAATGATGAGTTGACGAGTGTGACCAAAAATATAGTGAACCAAAATAGTTGGTCTTATTTAAAAGTTAACGGTAAGACTGTCTTATTTAAAAATTAATATAGAGTATTTTTTTTTCCAGATGTATAATGTCTTGGAATCGAGAGAAAAGTTTTATACTCCGTATTTTCTAAAGGAGCGTTTGGTAGGAGGGATGGGATTAAATTGGAAAAGAAAGTGGAATAAAACGGTGGAATTAATAAATGGGATAAGGATAAAAATAGTGTACTACGTATTCCATTGTTTGGTACGGGTTGAGATTAGATTGGAACAACTAATAAAAATGCAAAATTACCCTTACTACTTTTTCTTCTTCTTTCTCTTTCATTAAGGGTAGAAATGTCTTTTACGCATTAAATTTAATTCTCATTCCTTATACCACCCCCTTTTAATAAGGATAAGTTTATTGCAAGTCTTGAGCAAAGTCTCAACATGAGTCTTGTTCAAGATTCTTGCAATAAACTCATCCAAGACTCACATGAGTCTTGCATGGAGTTTGGAATATTCAAACCCATGTCAAGACTTTGCAAGGGAACAAATACTACCATCTTTTGGTTGGTTGCCAATGAAAATTGGCCACCTCACCAACCAAAAGTTTACAAAAAAATTTTAAAAAATAATTAAGTATATTTTATAAAAAAATAAATATATTTGGGTTTTTCTAAGCTATACCCTCAAGGTTGTTGAGTTTCTAAGGTGTGTCATGCTTTTTCAAAAGTACAAGTTGTGCCCTCCAACTTAAGTTATTTAATCAATCGTACCCTCTAATGTAAACTCGACATTAACAATTGTAAATAAATAGGAAGTAATAAGAAGCGGATGAGAAAAAAGAATAAGAAATACACTGAGAGCTTGACATATCAATGGTTGCTTTTAGAAGAAAGAAGAAAAAATAGATGAGAAAATTTGGAAAAAATGCTAAATGTTAACCTACTTATATAACTCTAACCCAATTTGGGCGTGAAATTTCTCTCCAAAGTGTGGTAATAAACCGTTAACACAACTACTAACGTTGGATTAACGTTATAGGGTACGGTTGAATAAACACCTTAAGTTGGAGGGTACATCTTGTAATTTTGAAAAAGCATGGGCACACCTTAGAAACTCAAAAACCACGGGGCCATAGCTTAGAAAAACCCAATATATTTTGAAGAGGATTGAGTGAGTCTTGGAATATGTGTGAATTTGGAGAAAGTTTTGCATGAATCTGAATAATAAAAAGTATTTTAAAGTTAGTGGAAAGTTGATGTGGTAGAGTCTGAAGTCTAGGTCCGAATCTGGGGATAAATTCACCCTAATTTGGAGGGATAACTCCCTTTTTATCCCCCTCTCAATATCATCCCTCTAAACAAACAAAACACTTGTTAAATCCCTCCTCTTTTATCCTATCCTCCCTCTTCTATCCCTCTAAGAACTTTTAGATGACCAATGATCTGATCATGAGGAGATAGAAAGAACTTTTGGTATTAAAAAATTAGAAGAAAGAAAATAAGAGAGGAGAGATGGTGATGACCCGGTCATTGGAATGACCAATACAAAGCTTTGGTCATGAGTATAGTAGTTGACATGTGGCAAAATACTATTGGAAGGAAATGGAAAAGAGAGAGAATTGTTATTTACTATTTCTTATCATGACCAAAGCTATTTTTGGCAACCATTGGGAGTCTTTGGTTATTGTTAGTCATGTGACTTAGTCATGGATGAGTGGAAAGAGAGAGAAATTATATAATAGTCCATGACCAAGATATTTTGGTCATTTATTGGGTATGCTTTAACAAACAAGTTTAATTGTTTAAAATCTCTTTGAAGTGGCTCCAATTTTTAACTTATTTACCCCTCCTCTTATGTATATCCTTCCCTTCCTTTAATTCTCTCCACTCTCTCCCTCTTTCTCATAGCCACCACTACAATACATGCTTATCACCATATTTTTTGATGCAAAGCCGGGGGTATAAATTAGATTAGAGCAAGTTTAAAGTTACGAAAAGTTAGGAAGACTTATTCTCCAATATTACATCCCGAGTATAGTCAGGTGAAACATGCTTATCACCATCACCCATCGAATAGTTGTCCACCTTTTTAAACCAACTTCCACCATAATTGCCTACCCAAAAACATACCCAAAAAAAAAAAAAAAAAAAAATCCAACACCACAAAGATGTTTGAGTTCGTCGTTGGAGCCACTACCTTGGTGGAAGGCTCAAACAGCGTACAAGTGTGAAAAAATAAAGTTAAAAAGTTTTTTTACTTGCAACATTTCTACTACAGAGTGCACTATTTATATAAATTCACTTCAAAGTAACTAATCCCCTTATAAATTCATTTCTTCTAGGAAAGCATCCTCTCTCTCTAAAAATGGAAATTATCACCGCCCTCACACTGTCTTTCCATCGCCCATCCTAAGCCTATTCTCCTCCCTTCTCTTGCTGGGCTTGCTAGATCTATCTAAGGATTTTGTCAGTTAGGGAGTTAGCTTCGATTTTTCCGCCGCCTCTTAACCATCGACCATCATCTTATATGAAATTAAGCAAGCTTTTCTTGCTTTTGACTGGCTTTTAGCCTTGATTCTCACATCTAAAGATGTGTATGACATTTTTTATGCTCTTTTATAGTACTTGCAATTAAATTGGTTTTGCTCAATCTTTATGGCTAGTTTTTAATTTTTGGGTATTGAGAATTTTGTTTTTGATATTTGTTCAATTAATTGGATTCATGATATTTTTCCATTAGCCTTCTCTTAGCTTTTCTTTACAGCGTTTGATGAGTTTTTTCTCATGGTATTGTTTTTTAAGTTTGATAACAAGTCTTTTGATATGAGATTTTTCTCATCTTTGTCAAATTGTAGTTTTTTTTGTTGGGGGTGGGGGGGTGGGATGGGTTTTCTTTTCTACTTTTTTTCAATTGTTGTTTGTAGTTTCCTCTAGAATTTCTTAGGCTCGGTGTATCCGCCTTGTTTTCTTCTCTGCTAGCTGCTTGCACCTCCGCTTCTAGTTGCTAATGGTCTTGATCATCCTCACCGACAATCTAGTGTTTCAACGCCATATGTTAGTTGAGATCAACACTGATTTCTTCGCCGCCTCACCGCTATTTGTCACTCACCACTGTCGTTGGTTTTTTGGTTTATTAGTTGCTTGCTTTAGCTTCTATGAGAAGCTATACGTTTTAGCATCTTAGAGAAGTTTTGTTTAGTTTCCTTAAGAAACTTTTTTTTAGCTTAGGTGTTTATTATTATTTTTATGTTTTTTAATAGATTCTAGTAGTTTTCCTGAGATAGGGAGATTACTAGTACTGTGTACCTTTCAAATATTAAAAAAAAAAAAAAAAAAAAAAAAAAAAAAAAAAAAAAACTAATACCCTTATTATATAATATTCTTGTAAACGATCGCTAGTACTTTTAATATCTCAATTTTCTTATATGACTTTCATCTTATTTGATGTGAACACCTGCAGTTGCATAGCTTATAACAATGTACCAAAAAAGGGGAGGCAACCATATTGATCTTATAGATAAACGAGTAATGTTTATCTAGTGGCTTTGTGTTTTTTTTTTTTTTCAGCAACAATGTTTTTGACATGTCATATGCTAGCTGGAGAATGATGTCCTATGTTACTGTAGAGCAACACATATAAATGGAAGGGCACCCACACCACCATTAAAGCTTCCTCATCGTCGTAGTTATTAATAGTTGGAATGGAATCGGTTTGTCAAATGAGTTCATTGAGTTGCTCCATGTTAGTTTTCATCACAACGAATGTATGAAATATAGTAAAAATAACCAAATAACAAGTATAGCATATGAAGCTAGCTATGAACAAAACCTATGACCGGGCAAAAATTAGTACATGAAGATTGACAAAACATTGAACATTACCTCTAAACTCAAACAGATAAAGAGCTTAATGTCTGTCAACTACGAGTACAAAATTCAAACAAGCAATATACAATCAAAAAAGATGGTAAAACATAAGCTATCTGTAGATGGACCTGGTCTTTATACATCCAACTTGAAGAAATGGTAAACAGGACGAGCATGCATACCGGTGAGGAAGACTTGATAGATGATAGAGGACCTCTCACCTCTGTTCATCTGTTGATTCTGTTTGAAAAAATCATCTTCATAATAATGAGTTTAATGCAGGATACGTTTTTCTATCAACTACTGGTAAATTTAAAATGGCAGGCAGAACTGTAGGAGAGATCATATCATCCTTTGACCAACTTCACATGCCACTCCTGTAATTTGCAGTTACGATGACGGCACACAAAATTTCTGCAAACAAAAATGATCGAGTTATAATGTAGCCTAGCGTGATAAATTCCCTTTTACCCTGTTTCTAAACCTTATACCCTCTTTGTATGTTATCCTAGAGAAGGCTTTGGTCTTGCAATCCATCTTCCAATCCTTAAAAGAGGTGCAACTGTTGGAACTTATTTGGCAGAATCTAGATTTTGGATCTATGACAACCACCATGCAATCGACAACACTTACATGGTTAAAGGCCCAGTTTAGGTTCATTTGATTTTGGTGCAACTAAGTTAGACACTAACCTCAGGTTTGAATGCTTTTAAATTATAAATTCCAATTGCTACCTGTGTAGTTGACATGAGTTGGGTAAAGGCTTGATTTTGGTTTAGATTCTTTTGGCATGCGGAGGTAAAGACCAGGCTAAATCAGAAGGTAATACTTTATGGGACGATTATCACTAGACATTTTTAAGCGGTGGGAAAAACTTTACCTCAAACACCAGATAAATCATTATACTGCCAAGGGTTGAACTCCTTGGTTTTCACATCTTCTAGCTCAACAATATCAGAGCTATCTATAGCTGCCCGATGTTCAGTGTATTTGCCATTGTACTGGTAAATCTCCATATCACCCCAGGGGGTAGTTGCAACATCTTCGGTCAAATCAAACCATCTTGGAGTGAATTTGTCACCCTTGGTTTCTCGATTTCTCTTCTCTGCTCTCTGCCTCTCCTCCAAACTGAAGCAGAATATAATCAAAACCTTAAGGTAAAAGGACATAAGCACATAACAGCACAAAATTTATTTTACCCTAGAACAGGTAAAAGGATTTCTCTTTGTATTAAGGTACAAAAGCTTCTCAAACATGTTTTCTTTTCTCTTTGTATTAAGTTTGTGTTGTACAGCTTGTAAACTAGAAAGCTCGTGCAAAATTGACAAATCACTAATCTATGTGTGTTATTTATGTCAGGAGATGGCAATAATAAGAGGAAATCCTTGCTAACTGTTCTTCATCATGACAATGAATAATCACTGAATGAGTGTCAAAACAGGACACTAACATGAAAGTTAAATAATGTAACATCATCAAGACTTGTGGTACTTCTATCTTCTTGCAAGAAAAGACAGGTACAAGCATACGACCAAAAGCAACAACACAGGACCAATCTGACACCAGCCAAGATGAAAACATAGGATGGAAAATGAAGCGGACATTTTTTTTTTTTTACTACCTACTGAAGCATCAATATTCCGAAACACTCACAAACAATCAACTTAGTTTAAACTTTAAAACATCATAGTTACCATAAGTCAAGATTAGGATAGAGGCTATCTCTCAAACTTACAGCACAAAAAACAATGTTCTGATCTTGATTAAATGGTTCAAAGCTTTAATGACACATCAGGGAAATACCTCCACTCCATAGGAAAATTTCAGAATTTTGAGTTCAGCACAAAGATTAAGAGTAGTTATTATGAAAGTGGAGGATAGAGATAGGAAAAGGAGTACGGGTAAGTGTTGTGATTCTTGTGAAAAGAAATTAATTGCAGTGAAAAGAGAATAGGCAAAGCAATTATATTTTTTACTGAGTACTGTACTTGAAAAAGGAACGGTGGAGATCATTTCTGAGCATCTAAAAATAGTACCTGCTAAATATCTTTTAATTTGGAACAGAAAAGGTAAAAAAAAAATCCCAAAATATGAACAGGCACTGATCATATTTGCAGCATAATGACATATCCATCAGCCAACTTTCACATTGGTCACTCATTTCATGAAGTTAACAGTCCAAAATGTAGAAACACAACCATAGACAGAAGAGGAACCTGCTCTTTTCAGCACCAGACTTGGATAAATCGCCCATCTCAAGAGCATATCTATCAGGCCGTAAACGTGAATCTGATGCCAGTAACTTCTTGGGGGCTGTATCAAAACTGTTTATCTTGTGGGCAAAGAATGTATATTGATATTTGTCATTTTTCGGAGTATCTGCAAGATGCCAAGCCTGCAAAATGTATACATAAACAACAGTCATGATGAGGGTGTGAAAACTGAAACCAAATTTAGCAGAAATTGAAGGTTACATAAAAGCACGTAATCTGCTTGGATGATCTACTGACCTTATATTATTTCAAACCAATTAAGTTTAAATAAGTTTAATAAGTTCAGATAATTTCAGACAAGTTAAAGCAAAATAAGCTCATATAAAATAAGTTTAGACAAAATAAGTTCAGACAACATGAAAAGAATAGAACAAACCCTTAGTTTTGAGACTTTAATACTTTATACTAGATATCATGCAGAGTAGAAGAATCCTATCACTGATGAGAATTAAGCTTCATTTTTTATTTTTTTTAATTTCATCAGAGATTCATAGATTATTATAAATCCATTCAGTAAGATATACTCATACATTCATAGATTTATTATAGGAAAGATAAAGAAACACCAAAACTGACACATCTAAGTTCTAAACAGTCATAAGGCTTAAGAATAAGCCAGTCATCATGTTCAATTCCATCCGCGTATCAATATTTCACTGAATGGTTCTAGGAGATTAAAGCCATAAAGACATATCAGAGAAAAACTGAAGTTTCTTAGATATGAACCTCTTTCAGTTCTGTGCCAGGTAGAGGTTCCCCTTCCACATCACATGGTTGATAACTCATTGACTCATTCCATTTGCCGGTCATTAATATTTTAGGCTCCTCATTAGCATCATATACATAACCATCCACCTCATATCGACCAGCTCTACAAGAAAATACAAGCTCAAATAAGCCAGAATAAACCTTAAAGAAAAATGAGTGCAGGGAAATAAAATAGTCTTCAAGCCTGCAGACTTGAAATAGAGTTGCCACTTGCCAATCTAATGACATATATAAACAAGCAACACTGGATAAGCCATGTCAAATACCCATCTAACTATTCTAAGCCAAAATAAGTAAGAATTATATAAAAAAAAATAATAAATAATAAAAATAAGTAATAAATTAAACTTATAGCAGAAAGCCAGAAACAGGAAGTGCACGTAACAAGTGCACTCTGCAAGGGCTTAGGGCTAACAAATGGTACTGGCAAATTAGACTTGGAGACACACATTTGACTACAGAATGCCATGGACTAAGCCAAATGTCTTACTAAACAATCCTCTACTTATTGGCTGAGAACTAGCATGTCAATTGTCTTTCAAACATTCTAATGCGAGTCTTATTAGACACTATGATGATGGTATTGTATGTCAAAACAAAGGAATAATAAAGAAATTAAAAATAATAAAACAAGAAGATAATCAAGCAGAGAAAATACTAAGCGCATCATTGTCTGGAATACAAATTTTGTAATTAAAGAAACAAAATCACTACATACCCAAACCAACCACATGGTTGAAAATACAGCACAACTTTATCTCCAGTAGTTAAATTGGTCAGTATCATCTCGCCAGGTGAATCCACCCAAGTTCGGCCAAATATTAGGTTATGAACTTTTGTAGGAGGTGGGACCAAATCCAACACTACACCACTTCTTTTGAGAGTGACACGGGTCCTGCATTCGAGATAACCATGATTAATAACATGGCAAACTAAAACATTATGATGTAGTAAGCTTCACTGCCATATACTATCGGACTATCTATCACAGCACTAATTAACATGAAAATAAATGTGTCAAGAATCAAGATATATAGAATTATTTTTTAACATAGAATAATAATAATAATAGTGATGTCAAAGCACCCACTTTGGATAGAGATAAAACAGAAAATGAGAGTCATGAGTCTAAGTTCTGGTTGTTTTCAGGTCATGCTAGGCATGACTCCTACATGCCTAAACAAAAAGCTTCTAGATCATACCAGAGGGCTGCACAGCTATCATACGAGCTCACACTACTCTGTTCATTAAAGTCCAGGAAATAAAGAGCCCCAGAATGAGGCAAGAAGCAAGCAACGCCACTTCCACAATCCACACTGAGCTAGCACAACCATTTCATGTCCCCTGATGCCCTTGTGCTGTAGCTTTCATCAAGCATTAGCAATAGAATTCTTTTGATTTTACTTGTTAGTGATGCAAGCATGATGCTGATAAGGGTTAATGCCAGGAAATATGAGCTTCCACATAGGGTTCAACAAAAGAGAGAGAGAGAGAGTTCTTTAGCTTGTTAATGATATTGCCTTAGTGACTACATTTTTCCTTTTGTGACTTTGATGCTTCGTTAATCCAAGCTTGTTGCTAGTTTATTGGAGTATTTTTACTTCCTTATATAACTGCTTTAGCCTTTCTTTCTCTAATGTGAGTTCATATCTCTATTTTCCCGTTCAATGTCAGAACAAAAAACCCTGAAAATATTTTCTTTTACACATTAATTTTGGAAGATTTTGATTCAAATCATCAGAATTCCAAGGGGCCTGTACACATCAACTTTTGGTATGCATGTCAAGGATACATATATCATCAAAGCTGACATCTGAGCAAAAATCTTAGTGGGTTCGAAAGCTTGAAATTTTAAACCCCCCAATCATTTTACGTCCTCCCTTTCTTTCTCCACACCTCAACGCATATTCTGAAATTATCCTTTTCTGCCTATAGTTTTTCAAAATCCTCAATTGTCAAACTCTAAATCCACAAATGCAATCCCTCAGCTTCAACTGAGGAACATAAAAAGAACTCATTTCATGATAAATCCAATTCCAACTTCCAAAGGAACATGTCAATGAAGCCAACGTCTTAAACAAGTCTTGGGTAAAAATTAAATTGGCAAGCTAAAGATAAAGTGGCATACCTACCCCAAAGAATAATTTGAAGATGGCAGAGCTTTTGGAGATGAAAGAAGGATTCCAATGAAGCAGTAAAAGTTCAACAGAGATGATAATTAGGATATCAATCATCAAAACAGAGCTTCTATACTTGGAAGGTAACTATAACCCTCTTGCATCCTTTGAATGATTGAGGAAAATAACAACATCTTGACAACAAAGATTACAATGATACTAATGTAAATTGGCCATTGTCTAATTTATGAAATACAGAAATGTGCTTAGCAGAACGAAAGGGAAACCTGTAACTTGAAAGGTGCTTGCACCAAGAACAATTCATTAAAGTAAAGGCTCAGGATCCATGTCAGTTGCACAATGCGCTAAGGAACTTGAAAAACTAATGTTGATGATATTTAGCTTGAATGGTATCTTTTGAGCACAAAACAATCAGGTAAATCGTTGGTTTTGACCCTAATATAAGGCAGGTGATTGCCATGAAACCACCTCACTTTTTGAGGATGTAGTACAATTGGCTATAATGTGTGAGAAACATAGCATGACTAAAGGATACTTTTTGCTCTTGTAGTTCACTAAAGCAAATTTCAAGGCCTCTAGAATGGGGTCTATCAAAGAAATTACAGACGATAGCTATGAGCAAGACTCACATACAATTTTCATTTAAAAATGATCACCACAAGTTAAAAGAAATTACAATTTTCCCAACCAATGTATCTTCAAGAACCTATTTTATGATCATTTTAAAATGGCATCACACCACAAAAAGGCTAGGCATACTTTGCACCGCATACATTAAGTGCAACCTTAACCACAAACACCTACTAAGAAATTAGATAGCACCATAAAAGATAAAAAAAATTACTTACCTTCCAATGGGATAAACATCAAGGGAGTTGCCTAAAAATTTAGTCTTCAGCTTTGATGTCAGATCATATGTAAAATGCTCATTCTCACAATGTCCAACACTCATAGGAGGATGATGACTCACCTAAAATATACAGAAAATGCAAATCATCAGCACTACCTAATTAAATGCAAGAATAGCAGTCATGGTAAAATTGCTAGATTGGGTAGAAAGAGAAATTACTGTCCAGATTTATTTCAAAGTCGTGTTCCAAAAGAAGCTACAAACATGTGTTGGTTAAACAGAAGTTCAAAGACAGACAGACAGACCTGCTCTGAAATAAAAGTAATCCCATTATGATTGACCATTTCATAGGTTTCACCAAGGATGGGATTAAAAGGCTTCCAGGTGCGCTGTAAAGCATGGTACACAGATATTGCCCAAGATGCTGCAACCAAGACATGTATAGATTTCATATTAAATGAAACATGAATTTGCCTCAGATTCTATCAGAGAGTCTGCTCAGTTGCTCACCAGCATAAACCAATCGCAGATAAGGGTCTTCACATTCATCAGCCTGATCTAACAGGTAACTGTACTCCATTATCTGTAACAACCATACACCATTTCCAGAGTTAAACCCATATCACAACATCTATATACTGGTAAGCAAAAATATCACTGCACACGCATCAATGGTAAACAAGAGATGACACAAACCTCTGCCATTTTCTGCAGCATAGTCATAGGCTCGAAGATTATAACTGGTAGAGTTACCATTGATGTCACATCTGACCCAATGTACTTCTGCATCATTTTCCAGTAGCTATCTCTCTCCTGTAATCACAGAAATTCAACAAATGAAGTAAGCAATAGCAATTAAATATTGATTTAGAACAGTCCTGAAAGCTAGTGTATAGTCTCCAAAGATCTTTGAGATCAATCACTCCAAGGTTTCTTGTGGTGAAGGTCCACATATACCAAAAATAACCATACTCAAAAACCCGAGTTATCGCAGTGGCCATAAATTGTTACATGAAATACAAGCAAAAGCTACTTAATAACATGTATAATAGGTAAATTATACTAGAATGATTCTAATATAAGTATGAAGTTTCTTAATTTGGAAATTTATAACAATCTGATCTTAGTACAAACATAAACATCAAACACAACTTCCATGATTCCATCCCAATAAAATATAAACAAAAATTCATACTTTAGTACACCCAAAGCTATTTTCTGTTCATGGAAGCTCTTCCACTCCGCTTAGGTACACCCAGGTGTGTAATGAAAATTATGCGACAAAAAGTCGAAGTTTGATAAATTCAATCACATAAATAGCAGATATACAAACCTCTTGTTTCCACCTTCCTCTCTGTGCTTCTTCTTCAGTATCATCCTTACCTCCCTCAGGATTTACGACTTCCAGATTTTCATACCCTATAAACCTAAAGATCACATAAAAATTCATAAACAGTACTTAATAAAAGGAGAAAATATTCACCAAATGTCAAGCATTAAATTACATTAAAAAAAAAATGGTTTGATTGAAAACAATCAACAAAATATTGAAAATAACCAAACAAAAAAAAATTAATCATCAAAAACAAAAATAGTGGAGTAATTCACTAATATTAATCAGCATAAAGAACAACATTCAGAAGCGTAGAAATTAAAAAAAAATAAAAAAAAATGCTTGAAAAAGCGTCGAAAAAGAGGAAATACCCATTGACAGATCTATGCATGGCGTTACTGAACATGGATAAGCTAGAAGTCATTGAAGAGAAAAATCCCTTATTTTCCATATTCTTCTTGGGGCTTGGCATAATTGATTGAAAATTTGTGATCAAATTGAATGATTAAGATTTAAATCGGATACCCTAATTTATGAAATTCGAAGCAGATTAATTTATGGGATCAAAGGAGTGAGCATGACAAGGTAGACTATGCAGGAGTCAGCCAATATTACTATATTAGTCGTGTTTATTAGACTTTTTCGCTACCTAACTTACCCATCAAATAATCAAATCATGTTACTCCCTCCAATTTTTATTTTTATTTTAAGCGTTTTATTTTGAAGGATATATAAATCTATTAGCTATTACAATTTTTTTGTATGCGGCCTGCTATATTGTATGGTAGGGGTTACTCGAGTTACTCGGTCAAGGGTTATTCGAGTTTTTCGGTCAGGGGTTACTTGAGTTGACGGGGTCACTCGAGTTACTCGGTCAGGGGTTATTCGAGTTGTCGGGGTTACTCAAGTTACTCGGTCAGGGGTTACTTGAGTTACTCCTGACCAAGTAACCCTCAAGTAGCCTCGGACCAAGTAACCCCTTGAGTAACCTATGACCAAGTAACCCCTGACTGAATCCTCGAGTAACCCCTGACTGAATCCTCAAGTAACCACTGACCAAACTCTTTAAGTAACCCCTGACCGAATTACTTAAATAACCCCTAACCGAGTAACTCAAGTATCCCCTGACCGAGTAACTCGAATAACCCATAACCGAGTAACCCCTAACCGAGTAACTCGAGTAACCCTTAACCGAGTAACTCGAGTAACCCCTGACTGAATCCTCGAGTAACCCCTGACCAAACTCTTTAAGTAACCCCTGACCGAATTACTTAAATAACCCCTAACCGAGTAACTCAAGTATCCCCTGACCGAGTAACTCGAATAACCCATGACCGAGTAACCCCTAACCGAGTAACTTGAGTAACCCTTGACCGAGTAACTCGAGTAACCCCTCAAGTAACACTTGACCGAGTGAACCCCTCGAGTAACCCCTGTCCGAACCCCTCAAGTAACCCCTGACCGAGTATCTCGAGTAACCCCTGACCGAGTATCTCGAGTAACCCCTAACTCTAACAAAATAACCCGGGTAACCCCTGCCACACGGTGTGACCTGCTGCACCAAAAAGTTGCTGATTAACTATTACTAAAATAAAACGTTGCTGACATCACTGTACACATGTCACTCACATAATAAATTTTTTTCCAACTAAATGTAAGGATGTTGTCATTTTTTTTTTTGTGGAGCTATCATATTTAACAATTTTGAAATTTGAATATTAGAAGTTTCTACATTACAACTACAACCTATCAATTTACCTTTAAAAAATAAAATAATTGTAAATAGCACTTTAATAAATGGACTCCTGTATTGAAATATGTATTAGGCGACATTGAACCGGTATTACCGTATTATATCATAATTTTGATGAAAATCTAAAACTATAAAATTACAAATATTTTTGTACAAGGTGCATAATTTTTATTTATATTTATCCATTTTCTTTTAAATGTACAAATTATAAAAATAGATTTTATATAAATCGTGCATCGCACGGTTTCTAACCTAGCTTAAGCAACATTAGATGATTCAAAAAAAAAAAAAATCGTAGGCAAATTAATAATTTTGTAAAAATCTTTTTGTTTTTAAAAAAAATATGAGTTTAGGTGGAAAAATTCCCTATACAAAAAACTCTCATTTAGTATATGTGTATATATATATAGATACGGAGAAGTACTCTTAATTGCTACGAAGCACGTATAAAAAGATGTAAATGATATCTTTCATGGTGTTTTAAACTTTTGATATTTCAATTGTTATTTTTACCAAACACTCATACTGGGTCTGTTTTGGTGGTAGCTTTTGAGGTAGTTTTTAGCTTTGACCTAATCCAAACACTACCTAGAAAATTTCGAAGTAGTGATTTAAATAATTGTTAGTGGTGGAGGTAGCTGTTGTTAATAACTAAAAAAAAAATAGCGTAGGCTTTCAACCTATATTTTAGTTTCTTTTTATTTTTTTTAATTTTTTTTAATATGGCGTGTATTTTTTTTTTCAATCAACCACAATAGTGGGTTTTCTACCTGATAATTTCTATCTCATGTTATCTTAATTTCTATATCCTCCTTTTATAAACTCTACACTCCATCTTCTTCTTCCAAAACCATAATTAATTTTAATTTTTATGTTATATGGGGATAAAAGGAGCAAAAGAAAGTATACAAGTTTTTTTTGATTTGTTGAGGTATGTGTTTTTCCTCATATATCCTACTTAAGTTGTGTATATAATGGTCTCAACAACTAGTTTTGCCTTACATTCATAATATGGCATCTATCTTGATATTTGACCTCTAATAGCTACTACTTCACAGCTCATAGTTACCTCTACAAGGACTACAATTTTTAGTTGCTTAAAAGTGGCTAACTTCCAATAGCTACAACTATTCACCTTGAAAACTAACCTCTACTCACTAATAATTGGCAACTACTTGTTATTCTAACATTTATCCGCTATCTATACTATCTATTAAAAGGTGTTGCTAAAGAATTTTAGGTGCCACGTGACACTTTCCTCAATCAATCGAGTCTTTAAAGGTGTTGCTAAAGAATTTTAGGTGCCACGTGGCACTTTCCTCAATCAATTGAGTCTTTCATTCACGTGCTTACAAATACGGCTTGTATAAGATTTGAACCCACGACTTTAAGTTTTAAAAATATAGTGTTAGCCACTAAACTATCTATAATATTATAGTTATAATATTATTAAAACTCAAAGGAACAACATGGTATTGACATGTGTTGATTAGGGGATTTTTATCCACCAAGCGCCGTTTGACAAGTGGACCAACCAGGTTCCGCCACGCGTCCTCCACGGACCACTTAAGACACGCCACGTGTCCACCCATGCCAAATGGGACAACCGGCCATCAAGGCCCATTTCAGTCTAGAAGCCCGATCGGCCCTAGGTTTACCTTAAACCTAGAGAGTTGCACGCTTCCCAAGGCTATAAATACTCGATTAATCCTCATTAATCGAGGGACCGAATAATTTACGGAACACACTAATAACCGGCTGATCTCGCTAGCAAAGCAGATTACCTACATTAAATACTCTCACCTAGAGAGACCTTATTACTTTAATTTCTGTATTAATTACTCCTTAATCAGGTACTAACTTGACCGTTGGAGGCGGAGCTCTCAGGAGTCTCCGTTATTTTGCAGGTACAGGCGTCCGGTTCCAGTCTCGGAATTGTAACTCTCCCGCAGGACATCAGAAAACCCCGAAACATTTGGCGCCGTCTGTGGGGAGAGTACTTCAGAGATGGCATCCAAGTCTGTACCGACCCCAGAAGAGAGGCGTCCCCTAGACGACCCTCAAGTTCAGTCGGACCATGATACCGAAAGTGAATTTGAAGTTGAAACTCATACAGCTCCAGACGGGACCCTAAGGGCCCGCCGTACCCGTCATACTGAAATAAGGGAACGGGAGTATCTTCAAACAGGAAACGAGCCAGCAGGCGCACCGCTTGCTCGGCAACAGCCGACTGATGGGTCTGCTCCCATCACAAGGAACGAACTCATGACCTTCATGAGGGGATTCAAGGGAGAGATCCAAGAGTTGATCAACAAAAAACCGCCTGCTTCAGTCAAAGAGCAGGCGGCCAAAAAACCTTCCACTTCACTGAAGAGGAAGCCAGTTCAAGGGCGAGAGGCGACTCCCCATCCTAAATCTAAGAAGCGGGAGCCGTCTGCTCTTGATTTCACAAAACTCCGTTATCCTACGGGAAATAGGAAACCGGTTCGTCATATTCAGGCGGACGGGTCAAAGCAAACGTTCACAGATGCTCGGCACCTGCTAGAGCAGAAGAAGAGTGACCGATTATCAGAGTCGGCTTCTACTTCAAATTTTCAGGACAGTTTGCAAAATGCCTCGATGAGGCCAACTCAGTCGTACCATGCGAGTCAGTCAGGCGGCACCTCCCGTCAGTCTGGCTTTCATAGTGCGCAGGCGGTACCAAATTTACCATTTGTGCCGCAACAACAATATTTTATGCAGCCACCTCCATTTGGTGGACCTGCAGCAAAAAACGTCCAACCTATGGACTGGCAGCTACGGCTGCTTAGACTTGGTGAACAGCCGTCGGCCTTCTCCAAGGAAATTACTGAAGCCGCTCAGCCGGCCAAAGTAAAAAATGTTTTAGTAGGCGCCTATGATGGCACTACTAACCCGGAAGACCATCTGATGGCATTCACCAACCTGATGTACCTTCAAGGGTTGGATGATCCCACTTGGTGCAAGTGTTTCCCAGCAACTCTCAAGGGAATTGCACAGCAATGGTTCGGCAACCTGCCGACTGGTTGTGTAAACAGTTTCAGGACGCTTGCTTACTTATTTGCCTCCAACTTTGCAATGAACATCCCTGCGAAGAAAACGACCCTTGATTTGGGAACCATTCAGCAGGGTGAAAAGGAGGGGCTTCGTTCCTACATCAGGCGGTTCAACCTGATGAGAATACAGATTCAAGGGTTACCGGATGAGGTAGCTTATACTGACTTTTTTAGAGGTCTCAAAGACGGGTCTACCTTCAAATTTGATTTAGTTCGAAAAAGGGTGGCGACTCTTCAAGAGGCCTTGATTGAAGCAGAAGCCTATATACAGGCGACTGATCTGTGTACAATGAAACAGTCGGACGGGAAGAGGTTCGACAATAGAGAAGGACGACAGAAACAGTCGTCCAACAAAGATGAAAAAAGAAAAGGGGTCTGGGCGGCTGATTCCTCTAAACAGCCGGCCAAGAAGAAAAAGGAATTCAAACCATACTCCCCAAAGTATGTGTTTAACAAGGATAACCAGTTTATCCTAAAAGAAATAAAGGGACGGCTCTCAATTGAGAAACCGCTCCCCATGAAGGGTTCTGCGAGCAACCGGAACCAAGACAAAATCTGTGCTTATCATGATGACATTGGTCATCACACCAACGACTGCATTAGTCTCATGCGGTACCTAGACCGCTTGGCTGATCAAGGTGATCTTGACACTTATGTCAAGAAATCTACGGGGAATACTTCCTCAAAAAAGCAGTCGGCCAAAAAGAATCAACAGGCCGACAGTTCCGATACAGATGATGCAGTCGTCTACATCATTGCAGGCGGCTTCTCAGGAGGCGGCCCCACTATTAGGG